CAACTTCAGAAACGAAAGGCTGCACTTCTGGAAATGTTTGCTACGAGCCAGGATGACACAGAATGCTGTTCCACTGATGTACCCAATACAGAGATTTAGGGAGAAAAAGCAGCAACTCTGAACCTCAGCAGATTTAAATTCCTTGTCAAGCAGGATTAGAATATACTAAAATTGTGACTGTTCTGCCCAATTAGTTTGTGTCGGTGTTCATAAGCCACATGAGCCTCCACTTCTCCTAATATCCTTTCTCATACTCTATTCCTTGTTCATAGCATCTGAGCTTGTCTCTGTCCAGACAAGCTATTTTTCATCTTTGCCTCCTAATTTTCTTTTCCTCTTTACCTAATCATTAAGACAATAAATGAGTAATACCAGAGCATAGCTCCATAGGCAGCTGTTCAAATGATTTTTGCTGGAAAGTTAAACGCATATAGTTCAACTTAGGGCAGGATTAATCTTGATGTCCACAAATGTCAGGTAGCATGCAAATACACACTATAGGCTCACACATGAAGACTGAGTCAACTGGGTGAGATCAGCTAAATGAACACAGACAAACAATTCAGTACAAGATCTTTCTGGTCAAGTACCATGCTGGGCAGTGCACTTACACACTAAGTCATCAGAGGTTCTCAAATTTGATATATTTTATCCATACTTGGAAAATGAGCTTTGGGTCAGGATTAAAGCTGCATTAACAGAAATCTCTGCCTAAATCTCTGTGTTGGTACATCAGTGGAACCGCATTCTATGTCATCCTGGCTCATAGAATACATAACATGGCAAAATCTATCAGGCTTGGATCTACAAGTACTGCTTGGACCAAATTTTCCTAAATTGGTTTTGCTTTGTGGGGATTGCAATTAGGACTTTGTAAAAATACAGAACTAATATCTTCTGGGTGAATACGATCCTTGATTATCCCACAATGTACTTGTGGTTAGGTCTCTAACTGAAAAGCAATTCTTACATTCTACTCATCAAAGCAGATTCAGTAAAAGTATGAATGAGTTATCAATACAACTTTCTGTGGGAGTTAATTCAATTCACTTTACAGTATATTCTGTGAAGCGTTTTGGGATGTCTAGAAGACGTGAAAAGCGCTATATCAAATGCAAGGATTATTATTATTATTATTAATGAAGACTAACACTGAATCCACAGGTTGCAAAGGTAGAGAACAATGAATTGGCTGAGCAGTATTTGATAACCTGGATGGTGTTGTGACTGAATCATAACATATATTGGATATTACCAGATCAGAGATGAAACCCAAAGGTTGGAGATTTACAAATGATGTTGCAAAAAGGCTGTGGAAAGCTTTGGGACCTCCAGAAATACCCCCTTCCACGCCTTCTCCAGAACACGAGCTGATACAGAACATGGTGCATCCATTATCGGTGCAGTACCTATTCAGAATCAAGACTATGGCACCCTTCTTGATTCCAACCTCCAGCTCAGGTGCAAACCCTTGACTGCCTTGGGATGTCTTTCCCATGTGAGAAGTGCTATATAAATATAATTTGTTGTTGTTGTTGAATGCTCTTGTTAACATTTCCTGTTCAATCGACATTCTTTAATTCTCGAATTGCTAAGTGGAGTCCTGTAGCTCAGTGGTTAGAGCACTTGCTTTGCAAGCGAGAGACCTGGGTTTGATTCCCAGCAAGGTGAAACCTTGGGCAAGTTTTCTTTCTCCACACTCCTGATAATAATCCCTCAAAAAAAAATTGGTCATTTCAATCCACGACTCTTTGTGGGACACTGCTGTGCGCAATTGGCTGCCGCGTTCGCCCACAAATATACAGTCAATTCACTTTACAGTATATTCTGTGAAGTACTTTGAGACGTCTAGAAGACGTGAAAAGCGCTATATCAAATGCAAGGATTATTATTATTATTAAGACACATTTCTGTGCTGTACTAAATTAAAAGTTCCCCACACTGATTACCGTATAATGCTGCTTCAACAAAATAAAAAGATATGGAAAGTAACCTAGATAGACATTCTGGTGGATGCCCATTAAATAGTAACTCATTCATAAACGCAATGTAACAGTTCATTAAAACTTTGGAGATATCCAAAGTATTCAAGAGCAGATGTATTAAACACCAATTGCCTTGAAGCATTTAATTTTTATTATAAATTTAGTGTAGACCGCAGATTAAATCAAATTTGGAATGTAGATTTGAACATCTTACCTTTAAAAGTGCATTGAAGAGAACAAAGTAAAAGGTGATCCTTCCATACATACTTGATGTGTTAAGCCATCGAGAAATCAGTCTCTAACAAATAAAACTACTGCTGGTTCAGAGAATGGAAGGAAAAACGTAAGAGCTTGAATTCCCAATGAGAGAATTTCAGAGCTTCCCTCCCACTCAACAGTATGGTGTATATGTGGAGCAAACTCTCAAACAAGACAGTTGTTCCATTAACTGTCAAAAAATGAGCAGAGAATTGTCTGGTTGCTTAGTAAATTGTGGTACCATACAATGCAACAACATCAAATTACATTTGTGTTGAGCCTTTCACATTGAGAGGATATCCGAAGGCGCTGGACAGTCAGAGGTTTGGACCCAAGATGGGGGTTGGGATCAAGAGGGTAGGGGTGGAGGGTGACCAAAGGCACAGTCGAAAAGGAAGGTCATTGAGACGGGCTTTGAAGGAGGCAAGGCAGAGAGCGATGCAAAAGGACTGTTGAATAGGAGTTCCAAAGGGTAGTGGCAGAGAGGCTGAATGCTCGACTGCTGAATGCAGGACAAGTCATGCAGATCAGAAGATTGTAGGTTTGAAGCCTGGCTGGTTAGTTAATAATATCAGCCAGGACAGAAGTAGACACTAGAATTGACCTCAATGCCCTGGTTTACAAAAAGGAAGATCAACACAGATGTCAAGACTCACATATGAATAACAGCTACTTAGGCTGGGTTACTGCCATCCTTAAATTTCTGCTCGATTGCTTTTGGGGTTGAGGGAATGAATTTTCTTTCAACAAGAGTGGAGTGAAGCCCACAAAGTTTTACACTTAAAGAGCAGGTTCAATGATGAACTGAACAATATTTTCTCAATCTATGCTTTCTTATGTAGGAACACAAGATAATCAAGATTGCCAGCGGAGTAGCTGTGCTTAAACACACTTGTGATTGTGGATTAGGTCAGAAGTGCACAGCTGTTTAAAGGAATAGATGGTATTGCTGTTTTCAGCAAGTTCTTTTCTAGTTTTGGATGAGAAAGAGCCATTCTACCTTGCAGGTTCCACAGAGATATGCAATCTGATAAATGATGTTTCCTCATTCTGGCTGCACGTATAGAGATGTGAAGTAGTCTTTCAAATAAAACCATAATGCAACAATAAGTGAGGAAATTCAACCCAATGCTAACCAAAGATCTGAGGTGCTGTATCAATATTGTGAAACTGCAATACAAATTACATCTAAATGCAGATAGAAAAAAATAGGGAATAATATTCTGGTTTAATCCAACTTCAGGAGGAATTTGGGACAGATCATTTTCCTTTACCAAATGGCTGCTGTCAAATCAGAATTCCCTTAGACTAGCTGATAAACAAAGTTTGCATAAGTCATTTCTCTCTGAACAATGTTACCCAAATTATTTTGTTTCCTTGTTCATTTTGTGACAGAAATTATAGACTGAAAATTCATAATTTAGCTGAGATACTGGAGACATTCCAAGTGTGACCACTCGAAGATGGAAAAAAATCCATGAATCTCATTTAGAAATTGAAACTATGCACTGCCATTCAGCAGGAGAATAATTCTGCAAAACTATATCAAACATTGTATTTTCTGGAACGGAAAGCAATTGTGGCCAATTCCAAGAACAAAAGGAAAAGTGAACTATAACGCATGATGATGTAATGAATGAGCTGTTAAAAATCTTAACAGGAAATAGTTTTGTTTACAGATAGGAACAGTGCGAGACCAACTGTCCTTCTAGCCTATCCAAATCCATATCCAGAGTAGGGATGAGATTTAACTTTGGTGCATTACAAATGGAAACTCTAACCCAAATATAAGTGAGCATCTTGAAACTTGTGAGATGCATTTCACAAACAAAATCTGGATAAAACTTTAACTATACACCCCATTGGGATACTTTAATTTAAATAGCATAAGTTATTGGGAAATATCAGTGCCACAAAAATAACTTCCAAATTATAACCATTGTAGCAATTTGGAATGTCAAAGTTGCAGCAATCATTCTGAAAAATATAAAAAATTGAATAATGCCAACGAGAAGCCTCAACGTTTAATATCAGTCTGAGAATTATATTTTGTTTATGCAAGTTGTTGAACTGCAATTGCAAAGAATGCAGCCAACAACAACAACAACAAGATTCCATTTATTGAGCGCCTTTCACGTTGGGAGGACGTCCCAAGGCGCTGTACAGTTGGGTCAGGACCCGAGCAAGGGGGAAATGGTCAGGGTGAGGGGAGAGAAGGGAGGGAGCGAGGAGGGGGTAGAGAGTCGAGAGTCGAGTCAAACATTTGTGAGTATTAAAAAAAAACGATTAGACAAATATTTGTGATAAAAATGATACAGAAGGTTTACCCAGAACCTTAATTTCCATTTTAATGTAAAAAAGTGTGAGAATTCCTCTTCACCTTGTGCTTTCAAATTGCAATTTTTCTATTGTAAGCATATATCCTAAAGGTTGCTTCACTTAGTAGCAAAGGTGAATTTCTTGCCTGCAGTTTAAGATCTAGAACTTCAAACTGTGATCCCAAAATGGAAGTAATGACTGACAGTCAAGTCTTGTTATCTCAGTTGCGAGTTTAAGTAGCTTCTAATAGGGAAATATTCCCACAGGAAGAAATGAAAAAAACACTTATATAGCACTGAATGAGAGTGATTCCTCAGCAAAGCCATGCATTCTATTATTTGGCTGGATGATATCTATCAGAGCTCATTATTTAACCAGTTACATCTAATGTGGTGTTATGAGTCGCGGAAGGGGGAAGAAAGGAAAAATTCAACTTACGAACAAATTTCTTTTGCATAGTTTCTAACAAGGCCTGATGAGCATCTTCTGCTTGTAGGGCCACCGAACATTCCCTGGCCAACATGGTCCGTACAAGGTGCTCTCCACAGCCTGGGAGGGAAGCAAATTGCTGAGGAATTAGAAAGTTCACAAATGAAAGGCCAGCTACCAGAGCAGAAGAAACAGGTTAATAACAGAATGAACAATGACAACACAAGACACTTTTTCAACTCGATTTAATATTAGCCCAGTGGGGATACATGCTCTTTTTGGAAATTTTACTTGAGGCAAAGTAGTCATTAGAATGCCACTATAGTGGTTTCCTATTAAGATTTCTGTCAGAACTCAATTCAAACCACAATGGAATTATTTTTCAAGAAATGCAAACGTCAATCTGAGTAATGCATTTTATACCCAGAACCACACAACAAATAAACTGCTTAAAAAAGTGAGACCTATACACTACACAAATTTTTCCTAATCTATGATAACATTTTGGGCTACATAATGATGACAAATGAGACTCATCATGGACTTCTATTGCACTGTGTATTAGAGAAAAAAAAGATTGTTTCAGATCTTTGGATGGGTTTTTCTTTCATGTTAGAAAATTAGAAACAGGTGCATATAAAGAACACACATACATTCTCTACATTAAGAGACACACGTTTTCAATTTCCAAACATGAAAGAACCTCCTTTTACAGAGAACAAAAATAAAATCCATTTGGTTCTGTCTGCCACATGATGAAGGCCTTACAGCTAAGATAAAAATGTTTACTTAAAAAAAAGAACAAGCTCCATCATCACTAGCAGCAGCTTGACACAGCAAGTTTTTTTTCAATAACCACCACAGTAATTAAATTTGCAGACAAGTTTTGTGTGTGTTTAACATGTGAATATTTGTGATTCAATGAGCAAATCATTATATTGCCCTCAAGTATCTGTACATTGCTGAGCGAAATCTAGAACTGAAAAATCTAGCATATTATTGGCCTAATAATGTGCTCCACTCGTAAGCAGGTGTATACACATGTCCATTCCTCTTCCAGTATTTTCAACTGTAGGCAAGTTATAATTTATTCATTCAACAGATAAGTAATACAGGGCTTATACTACATGCACAGTGCTTTAAATATATATATACATATATACACACACAAACTGTGCTGTTTAATAGCTGATACTTAACAGTGTGCTAATACTAAGATGGTTTGTATAAATTATTGTAAGTACAGTAATAAAGGAAAACATTAAGTGGTCCACATTATGGAACCAAAACTCAAGAGATTTATTAATCTAAAGGAAATGTATAGCTTTATTCAGTCACTGTGAGTATGGATTCCTACAAGCCAAAGCCCAAATGGGTAGGGTGGTCCTAGCTGTACAAGCAGTGGGAAGCTTGTCAGACAATGCTTTCAATGGCAAGCTATGTGGTTTTAGCTGGTTAAATTCCAGCAGTATTCCAATAGACATTTGGTCCTTAAGTCTTGGATCTTGACAACCTGTGCATAATTGGTAAGCAGGATCCGTCTCTCTGGGGAGAGAGTCCACATTCCATTCCAAACACAGGAATTTCCATGTGTAGGTGGGATGCATCTCAGACTGGTATGAATTCTCTTTTAAGCATAGTGATGGTTTCCACAGGTTTCAGACACCCACCTGATCCAAAAAAGACACATTATTCCTGTAAATTATACAGTTTGTAGTGATTATTGGCTTTTATTTCATTGAATGGTATAAGGTAGTGACACATACTGTACAGAAATGATAATACATAGACCAAAACTGGAAGTTAGTTACAAATCATAAAATTGAAGGGATCAGATAATATCTTAACCAAACTATAAAATGCACTGGTCAGGCACCTCAAGTACTGCACACAGTTCTGGTTACTGTGACATAGTGGAGCAGAGAGCGATGAGGATGATCCCCAGTGTTAAGAGACATAAGCTATGAGCAACAATTACACAAGTTAAAGTTATTCAATCTTGAAAGGATATATGTTTCAGAGGGGACCTTATGGAGGTATTTAAGATTGTAAATGGGATTGAAAAAGTAAACCCAGAGCAATACTTTTTGATTCACTAAAATAGGAAGAACAGGACATAGGTTTCGAGTTGCAAAGAACAATTTTAGGACAGCCACCAGGAGTTGTCTGTCCTAAACTGCTGCCCAGTTAAAAGCTTTTAGAGCTCAAGATTTTACATCAGCAAACTACTATTTCCTGATGTATCCCATCCTCTCTCCAACTTCAGTGCCACTCTGTACTTTGTATGTTCATTCTCACGAACAAATGTTCTGTATCTGAGACCAGGGGCCACAAGTTTTTTTCCATGGCTTTGAGTGGTGATCTCAATCCCATTCTGCTGTGGTGACAATGCTGGTTACTGTTACCCATCTTGTGGCAGCCCAATAAACAAGAATACCACAAGGTCCGGAAAGATGAAGAGTTTTGATATCCTCACCCAAAAAAAGAAACATCAGTCCCTCTAACAATGGTCCAAGGAAACACTACACATAGAAATAGCATTTGGGGATCAATATAGAGAAAATTCAGAATACATTTAAAGTAATCATTGACTGATTTGGACACCTGGTGAAAAAAGAGAACACTCTCCCTTATAAACAGCACAACATAGAAAAAAATATTTGTTGAACACTAAGAGTTGTATGCACATGGAATAAATACCTGATGTACTCACAGCTGTGGAATACACATTACTGCCTCCTGTATTTTCAGCCCAGCAACCACAGCCGTAGACAGCTGCCTAGAAACAAGTGAAGACAATGCAGTTTAAGAAAATCTCTTCATAAACTTAACAACAAGTGGATCACTAACACAAAACATTCAGATAATTTAATGATTATTAACTGCTTATTTCTCATACTATACTATTGAGGCTTTTAACTTTTCTTCAAAAAACCTCAAGATGAGAAATGTTAAGTTTTGGCAATTGGAAGACATTCCTATTTTGGCTCACCCAGGTTCAACATCACAATAAGATCAAGCATAGAAACAATTAGATGCAGAGAAAATCTCCTATTCTGCACTAACCCAACTAAAAAAGGCACCCACAAGAGCCTGGCATTCCGTATCTCTCACACCAGCCATCCTGTAGCCCTTCTGAATACAAATGCCAAGTAGAGGTAAATTTTCTATTTTAAGCCCACTCAATGTGTTGAAACTGTGTAAACTAATTTCACATAAAAGTGACACACCCGAGAGTAACATTAATCCCAGCAGTCAGAGCAGGAATCAAACTTGGGTCTCAAAGGGATTGTGATACATTAGTGCATCTCTTGCCTTTATTCCAGTCTTCAAATGAACATTTTCACAATGTATCTAGAAATGTTTCCATGCTGAGAGATGTTCATTTAAACTTCTCTTTTCTTCTACTTGTGTTACTTTGTCCTCTTAAGACAGTTCTCCTTTAGGATATTGCAAGAAAACAATACTTTGCTTAAAATATATAAAAGACAGTTTAGTGCTTGTAATTTAAGTCTATACTTTTATGTTCTTTTTGCGACATATGCTCATGTTTCTTTTGCAGCCAACTGAAACCACTTCAAGAAACAAAATGAAAAACATTGTATCCAATTGTGCATTTTTCCTTTGAGTAACAACCCCCAAAACGTCAATGTATCTTTCTCTCTCAGATGTTGATTTCCATCATTTCTGTCCGGCAAGATCTCCTTGATACACATTTGGTTTACCACTGAATACAAATAGCATTAGAAATTGATTTTGTGGAATTTCTCTTCTGGGCTGTGCACAACAGAAAGGAACATACCAGGGGGCTAGACTCAAAGCAAGAACCCGAGAAATGGAACAAACATATTTACTTGACCAACTCTTCCAGGATGCTTCATTGCTAAACCTCCGCTGGAAACAGCAGCTGCCACATTTCCTTCATGGTCCACAACTACTGCTCCAACAGTATCAAGTGAAGTGGTGACATTGGTCTGATTTAAAAAAGAACACACAAAGAATAGTAGAATAAATAGGGATTTATTCAATAAAATGAAAGCATAATTTCTTATTCATGCTGAAACCCTTAACATGTGTAAGGAATTGTGTTACCGAACACAGCTCAAACATGTAAAGTTTTGTTTTACCAGGGTAGAAAAGAACCAAGGGTAGGCTTGATTTTTAAATGTAATATTAAAATATTTTCAATGATATTCTTGAACTATTCTTAATTTCACATTTTATAAACTATACGTTTCAGAATTTTGCATACCACTACCACTAAGGAAGTTGACAAATGATTTAATAACTTGATAAATTTAGTCAATTTGAGACTTTGTTGACCTGCCAAAACATAAGTGACATGATTCCCCTAGTTTAGTTTAGCTTTCAACCCATGAAAGCAAAATGATTACGTCAGACAGACACTTACCTCGAGATAAGAAATGCACGAAAACTGAAGAGAAAGATAACTTACTAATTGGGTCTTCTTCATTCTTGAAATCAATAATATCCTCCACATACTATAGAATTAAACCCACCCAAATCTGGTATGTTAGGATTTTGAAAGCAACATATTCACTTATGAAATAACTTTGCCCTGTCACTAAATAATATGCATGTAAAATCACAACTGTATTGGCCAACACTCTCCCCAGATAACTGGTTGTTCACATTATAGCTGTTTGCAGGCACTGCTGTGCTATAATTGGCTGCCTCATTCATCTACAAAGTACACAGTCACTACACTTTGAAATAAATCCTATGAAGCTCTTTGCAGCATCCTACCAGAGTGAAAGGCACTAGATCAAATACAGCTATAATTATTATAGATGAATCCAAGCTCTAATATTTGTCAAATGCAATGAGAATTTCCCCAGTTCTCAGCCTGGCAGAGCCCAGCAAATGAGATATTGTAAAGAATTCCTCATGAAGCAGCTGTCTCTATCTAGGGAATTACCCCTAATTGGTCTAGGAGGAATTCTACTTGTAATTTTACAAAACTTTGCCAACTCACTGGGAGCGTAAAATAAGTCAAACGTATTGAAGATTAATCAAATTTATCCACTGTCTAATGGATTGAATTATTTGTCACTGCTCCAATCCAAGCCCTCACTTTAAAATTCTTGTCTCCACATTAAGGGGAAAGATAGATATGACTTCAACAAAGAAATTTCTTAAAAAACAGTGACATTCCTTTGGAAACCTCAAATAATACAAATCCAAGAGTAACTAATCCTACTGTACCTGAAAGATGTTGAGAATAAAAATAAAGAAATTGTTTTAATTTCACCACTACTGTATCCGATAACTAATGGTTGTTACTAAGACTCACAAAGGACAGGCTTGTAGTGGTGCTCGAATTATATACAACACAAGATTTAGTAGGACAGTGACAATTGCTTAAATTATGATGCAAAGGGAAGAGTTCAGAAAATTAGAAGAGTGAGAAAATGCAAAATGGGGCTATCAGAGAATTGCTGCACTAAAAATGGTGTTAGCCTTGCTTATTTAATGCTTAATAATTATTTGAAAACATTAAACATACATTTCCAATATTATCTGCAGTACAATTACATTATCCCAATTGATTTACAAGTTAATTGTCCTTTGCCTCAGTCCCCACAAGGCTGATATGGGTTAATACATCTTCCTTCCAGCGAAACTTTATTTTGCAAATGTAATTTTGGCTAACTGGAATTAGCTTCATATATTTAATAACCTATTGACTGGAGCAAGTCTTTATACATGCTTGAAGAGAGCTTTTGGGCTGATAACGAACTATATGTTGCATAAAAAACCAAGAACAAAACAATTCACAGTACTCTGTACCAACAGAAATTTGACGTTTTTGTCATCCGATGATATGAATATCAAAGTGGAATATTCCTAATGGGTACATGATGAGCAGAAAAATTACAGAGAACATGTGATTGATTAAAAAAAAGCTTTCCAGAAACCATAAACTTGCAATGTACAATATGTTAAGCCAGCAAACAATGAAAATAATTTAGGACTTTCTCAACATGCCCAAATTAGCACAGCAAATAATCCCTGATCAGGATTCACAATGTGCAGCCAGCAAGATAATGATAATAAACAGGAAGCCCATTTTGTTTTTGTTCCCCGACACAGGGGTCAATTATAATATCCTTATTGCTCCCCAAGTTGGGATCAACAGCCATAATGAAATGGAAATTCACAAGTTCAATCATTGGTCTGTGTTCAGTAACAAACCATCTCGTGGATTTATGCATTGAACCACAAAAGTTAAAGCCATTTTATTTAAAAACAAAAAGGATCTTCAAAGTCAACCAACATTGGAACCTATAATTTATCACTGGTTGTTCCATGTTACTGTAAATATTTGGGTCTTTTTCAGCATACATTGGTGCACCACAAAATTATTTCCAAAATTCAGACAATATAGTTCTCTGGGTCAACCACAAGAGATCTCTCATAATACACCAGATGTTTTGTAGGTGGGAAGTTTGTTGGCTGCAAAACCAACATTCACAGATTAACAAACTAAAGGCAACAAGTTGCAGTTTAACTTTGGCATCCAACAAGATTTCTCTATTGTCAACCACCTTTCCTAGAACTTTTATCCTAGGGCACTTCCGTTATAGACAGTACCAACTGTACAGTTCTGTTCTATCACATGGGTTTTGCTTGTACAATTCAATTCAGGCAATTTAAACTACAAATGATCTACAAATAATTTGAGCTCAAGCACACAAAAAACTTTAATAGTAATACTTTAACCATTAGGGATGGGGGAGGGGGGGGAGTAAATCAAGATGAATTGGCTCACCTACATTTAAACAATGCATCAAACCACAGTATGCACTCCGTGAAATAATGGACCGACGCTAAACAGATCTATTCACAAGACATATTCACCCTTTGGCCAAATGCATCAAATCACAGGCATACTACAGGTATAGTTCTAGTGCAATACACTGTTATTTAACTGTTATTTTAGTTACCTCAATGCAAACCCATTATAATGTGCTTCTTTATAGCGTAAATTCAGTTACAATGTGATTACGCTGTGCATTCAATGTGCGTGGACACAGCCGGCCTGATCACCCCTGCTCTGCTCACTAAATGGCTTTTGTGCTAAAATGACAGACTTTTGGATGATTAGGTTGCTGCCAATGTCAGCTCATGCTTTGCTTGTGCAGGACAGACTGAAGTTGATGGTGACTTAATGACCAAGAAGTAAATCATCTTAGCTTCCCGTGCTAAAAATAACTAGTTTCTGGGTCATCAGATCGTCAATGTCATTTCCCACTTTCACGGTTATGCAGCAAACAGGAACTCATTTGGCGGTAACCTGGATATCGTCCATTTTTTACCGTGGGAACCGACTGGCCATTGAAACCATTCCTTGTCTCATATTTCCTTCAAGACCCTCCTCTTCAACCATGCTTTCGATCGCCCTGCTTCTCCCCTGCTCGCCATCCTCCTCAATCCTGACCCCCAGCTCGGATCTGAAACTCTGTCTATCCAGTGCCTTGGGCCGACCTCCTGACGTGAAAGGCGCTGTACAAATGTAATTTTGTTATTGTTGTTGTTAACCCAGATTGGGATGTTATGGATCCCAACCATCTTATTTTTGGTTCCCTTAGTTTTCCTTTCTTACAAAAATTGTCCAATTTCAAACAGTAGCATAAAATGGTGGTGGTTGCATTAACACATCAGCCAACAGTGTTCAATGTGTTACACCAATCCAAACAAGGTTAACAAAAATTAACTATAATTGAGACAGCTTACTTACAAAAATAAAAACATGCAAACATATTAGACCAATTCTGATCAGAACTGCTTGATCAGATGTGTTCATTATCACCAAGCAGTAGATTGTGTGCCAGAATTCCTCACTTAAGTAACCCGAGATTACATATGATTTGTACAAGATCTTACAAAATAACTTCAAGATGGTGAAAGGAGAAATTGTTAATGTTTATTATAATGTATGATTTATAACAAGCATTCTTTTCCATCTTTTCTATGTGCAAAATCGTCAAAATAACACTTTCACCCAAACAGCAAATATTCATTTCAGTGGTGCTTCTCATAGGTGGTCTGGACATCAACAGAACACTACAAATGTATGGAATTTACATAAGAAAAGTTGTCTGTCCTAAATGTTAAAAGACTTGTGATTAGATCAAGACCTACTAAGTCTTGGTTAGCACAAGGATCAAGTCTTGATTCTGTTTCAATGCATATTAGGACTCCCGGGAGATGCCACTGGATCCTGGAATAAGACATTCTAGGTTCAAATGACCTTCTACTGTGCACTGTGCAAAGCAATATCACAATCATGTGGGGTCCAAAGGATTCACATTTGGACTTTTCCTGGATCCAGATGGCCTGGAAAATATCCAAATTGGAAACGATTTTGACCACTTCAAAAGGTCAAAATTAAAAAGTGACAAAATAGTTGGAAAAACTGTACCTGGAATACAAATGAATAGTAAAATGCTAGTTTTGGGCCCACATTTCTGAGCCCTCAGCTGTGTCACTGTAGTGAAGTGCCAATTGGAAGCTTGATACTCCCAGGAGGAAAGGGGTAGAGGTGGGAGAAAGTCAACCCTGGGCCATTTATGCAGCTCATAGCAGTTGATTTAAAACAGCAATTAGACCAGACCAGCATTTGACACTATTTAAGCAGTGCTAAAATGGTAATTTTCTTCTCCCCACTCCGACAATTTTATTTTCATGTTCTTTTCTCCTAAGTCTTCTCGCTTTTCCCAGGCCCAGCTACTAAGTGCAACTCAAGAGAGCATACAGATGGTTTGTTCCCATGCCTCTACTTCGACCCTTCGGAACAAGCTATAAAATATCTCTCATAGAATCATAGACATTTCAGTGCAGGAGGAGACCATTCAGCCCATCGAGTCTGTATCGATTCTCTGAGCAAGGTGTTCATTCAATCTCCCCGCCCATTCTGGACATGAGGAATCCTCTTAGATATCCTGCAGCTGCCTGGATGTCATTTAACTATCATAACCTATCAAAGGGTGGGTTTTCCATAAAGTCCAAGGACACAGAATATGTTAAGAAACTGGCCACTGTTGCAATCCAAAATTCACACTTTAGGCTGTAATGGCTCACTGGAAATTAAGAGGAGTGCAACTTGATCACGTATGCATCCCCTTATCAGGAAGCATTTGTCCACAAACACTCATTGGTTCTGTATCACACCTTCTTCCGTGATTTTATTGCAATGAGCTTTGTCTTCAGCATTCCTGAGAAAAATATTTAAATCAGCATTTTATTTGGTTTCACCCCCTTAAGCTAACATCGAAAAGAAACAAAAAGGGATTCCAATTTACCACTTTGCACAGTTTACTTTAGGACAACTTAAAAAATACAACTTTTTTTCTCCCTTATTCTAAGGATAAAAAATTACACTAACGTTTTCAGACACTTCTCTTCTCTTCTTTGTCTGAATCATTTCTGTTTCCACCTTTTCTGCAAGTTCCAGTTTTCGCCTGTTTTTCCTAAATGCAGATAAGCTGAATTCTAAACAGAATTNAAAAAATATTAAAGATGTGTGTATCTGAATAAATCATTCACAAAGTATTTGATCAATGGCACAGTTCCCTGAATATGCAACAACGTTTTGATAACAACATGGTTAAGAAAAATAATTCAACTTTACATCTGAAACGAATAATGAAATTAAGCTAGTTATAAAATTTGCTTCAAAGGTCCAATGGGTAAAATGTACTATATGGTGTGGTATAAAGCCTTAAAGTCCCAGAGTTAAGCTCAAGGTACAGCAGTAGTGCAGTTCCTACAACTAGGCTCCATATTCCTAGATTTCAATGAAGAATGGGGCAAGACTCCCAATCCTGATCATCAGTGAGCCAGTCGAGCTAGAAGTACAAATGTATGGACGGACACTTAACAAAACCAGGTTTGCACTTGAACTGATGACTCCAGACATAGCCTGACAATGTTCATCATTCAGGAATGGCCAGCCGGCTATGTTGGAGGAAGGGTAGGAAGAGAAATTGACAACACAACTCTTCACTTGCCCTGCACAACACTTCTTGTGCCAAGCAAACTTCACTGCCATTCCTATTTTGCTCAGTAACCAAAAAGTTTATTCCCTATATGCAAAGAGATGATTCAAAAGTTTTTCTCCAGTTTTAAGATGCTTCGCATTAAGGCTGACAAGGAATGACAAACTCAGATTTGTCAACAAGAAATAATGCAATTGAACACAGAGACTTTGCGCAAACCACTGCACAGCAAATGAAGTATTTTTAAAATCACCAGGTTAAAGCAGGCAATGCAATCACAAATAAAAAGCTCAAATTGGGGTTTCTTACAAAACAATTAGGACTCCACTGAAGCTAGAAAATAAAGGCATAGTCGTTTCTGGGCGGCACAAGGCTATATAGACTTGATGAATGCAGATTTGAACGCTAGACTGAGATAAGTTAGCTGATCTCAACCAGGGGGTGCTATATTTGGTGTCAGTGTCTTGTCCCTCGTGTATTAGAAACAAAATCATGTAAGTTTTCCACATCTGATCACCATTCGGTCAGAGACCACTGCAGAAAAGGTGCCTGTAGACGGCGAGGCCAAAACACATGCTCATACATGAATAAAGGCATCTTGGTAGAGGAGAGGAGAAATTGTGGACAGAAAAAAAAAAAAATCGGGCAAGTGTTTTCTTGAGAACAGTATTAGACAATGCAAGGACAGCTGCAAACAGATGGACACATAATTCATAAGATTTCTGTGTTACGAGTTGACAATTTGCTCTATGTTCTGGGTCAGAAAGAATTCATTAGAAGAATAAAAAAGGGCCCAATTAAAAAAGTGTGGTGTCTCATTTGAGCAAGATTTAGTCATCACACCACATTAATATAAACAGGTAATGGTCTAGGCTGACATTCCAGTTGAGCCATGCAATGTTGGAGGTGGTGTACTTTAGATTCAATGTTAAATTGAGGTCTCATCTGCCTGTTCATGTGCACATTAAAGAACCCATGACACTCATCAAAAAGACAAGAGTTTCTCCAGATGTCCCGGTCAACAATCCCCCAGTTAAATTGGTCATTCATCTGCTGGCTGTTTCTGGCATATTGCTCGTTGCAAACTGGTTACTGTGTTTGCCTACAAATACACAGTCACTATTGTAAAGCAGAAGAGACATTTCAATGTGAAAAAGCACTATATCAAATGAAAGTATTATTATAAATAAAGAGAAGTACTCTTATGTAATAATTGTTCAAAGTGCTAATGAGCATTATTGCCATATCACCTGTTTAGCATACATCCTTAGCAGGATTTTTAAAAGACAGAAAAATTAATATAATTGCCAGCTTGAGTCCTGTTAAATGAGCAGTCCACACAAAAATATATTTCTTCTTTGATTGATATTTCTCTTTAATAGCGTTCACATCACTAGTGAAAAGTTAAAAATTTAAGTTCTAACTGTAATAATACACCAAATTCTTTTAGTGCTTTCTCACTTGAACTGATAAAAAAAATCAGAAACAAAAATTAAAACAATAGCAGCCTGAAAAGGCCAATAACTTTTCCATATACGGTAGAATATTCACCTCTCCCCACCTGAATATTCTACCGTATATGGAAAACCCAAGTTGATTGCAAAAGAATGTCCAGACTTGTTTTTAAATCTGGTAACCTAATTATTACCAGGTAACTGTATTCTGCTTTAAAGGAATATTGCTTCAGTGGCCTGGCTGTACCAGATGGTCATGATTTTGAACAGAGCTGCTTGTCTTCGAGCCTCCATGTTACCATTGAAAATGTAATCTCCTTGTGGTGAGTCCACTGTTTGAAGAAGCAAGCTATCTCAGACACAAGACAATAGTTATCTATTCAAATACAAGCAGAAACTGCTTCTGCCTTCCACTGTAGATAGTTAGTGACAGATCAGAATGGCTCTGAGTCTCACGAGGCAAAAGCTCATGGTCAGAATCATCAAGCAAGCTGGCTCCACTTAATTCAATGGAGGCTGGAGCTTTGCACAGATAAGTATGAGCTATCAGTGTGCTTTTCCAGGATCAGGTAGTTCTGGATTGACCTCAAACCCAATCTGCAACAGCAGTCTGCATTAAGGTGCATAGACCTGCACACATACATGCACACATACTGAAACTTGATGATAGTTCATACTTTTATATATTTTCTAATGGGAGTTTGGGGGTGCTTCAAACAGAAAGTACTCCATGTAGCCTTTTCTTCTCTTTTAATCTTGAGGAAAACAAGTAAATCATAGGTAAGATCTTGACCAGTAGATTCAAAAATTTCTGACAATGCAAGGCTTCCTCTCCTCTAAGCTGCTTGTTAAAATACTGTACATTGGTTTTATTATTTTCATCATTTCTACAAACAATTTCACACCAACTAAAAGAATTGAAACAGGACCTAGCTGACAGGACCTCCACTCTGGTCATTTCTAAGATGAGTCACAAAGTCTATGGATCCTTCTTGTGAGTCAGGGATATGCATGAGGGATATCCTCACATGCCTCTGGTAATTGGTCAAACAAGGGATTGGAGTATGTCAACAAGCTAGCTATCTGACTACCCAGTCAAACAGAAGCACTGTACACAGAAATAATGAGGAAAAACTCGAGATCACACATTCCAAGAATCCGCAACAAAAAACAAATTGTCAAATCACTGCTATTCAAAAATCAAAGCTTTTTGATTAAAATATACAACATTCTGAACAGGATTTTACGGTTTATATTTGGAAAAACTTGATACTTCTGGCAAATCTGTACTACGTTTTGCCCACCAAATACAGTCAATTCACTTTACAGTGTGTTCTGTGAAGCGCTTTGGGACGTCCTCCTGACGTGAAAAACGCTCTATCAAATGCAAGGATTATTATTATTATTCTGTGAAGCTCTTTGAGATGTCTCAAAGACGCGATAAGGTGCAAGGGTTATTATTATTACTATTATTAGTATTACAACATACTTGTCGCCATGATGTCAGGAGGACAAGGTGGTATTCCATGGTCCATTGCCCACTTGTAAGCCCCTTCTCCAACTAAAAAACTAAGGGAAAAAAAAACAGAATCGATAGTTAAAGAACAAGTAAAATAAAGGTTACACAATACATAGGATTTTCTTATAATAGGGGATGGGAGGAAAAAAGGGAAACACTGCTATACTCTCTCACCTTCTGTAAGAGTACATACACCTTTGAAATAATTTTCTTGCCGCTTTCTCAAACATTGGGCATTATTAGCCTGCCTCATAGAGTGCAGGGGAAGTCAAGAAAAGGCAATCTATCTATCAATCTATACTAGAAAATCTAATTGTCTAAATTTAAGCAATTTAGACAATTAAACAAAAGCTAAGTTCCTCAGGTCATAATCTTTATTTAAAAAAAAATCTGAATTTTGAACTTGAAAAGGAACAGCAAATACTGCAATTGCATTATTAAATACAAACATAAATTGCTGCTAGAATGGGTTAGGAGTTCTTTAAGAGATTTATAAACACGAACAATATTAAAGTGTTTCAATTTTCCAAAGCATTCGATTACAAGAAACGATAACTATGGGAAGAAAGTACCCTTTGCTTGAGAGCTAATTCTCTGTTGGTTCAGAGAATTTTTAAAGATCAGAAAACAAGAACACAAGGATTAGTCAGAATCCTATCACAGAATACTACCCATTTCCACATATTGGGCCCAAAATTCTGTCAGAACGGCAAAGGAATTTATGGTGGAATTTTAAGAGTTAAGCAGCTCCTTCCNTTTTTTGATAACGTGAGAAATTCTGAAGGCCTTTTTGGGCATATCAAAATATATGGTACTTCACGGCTCTTTATGAGATATCGTTGTACACAAATTGGCTGTTGCATTCGCCTGGAAATACAGTCACTACGCTTTATCGTAAATTCTGTAAAATGCTTTAAGATATCCTCCTAACATGAAAGGTTCTGTATCAAATGCAAGGATTATTATTATTATTTTTAAAGTCCAGCTGAACAAGCAGACAATCAGTTTAACATTTCAACCCGAAAGATGGCACCACCAGCAATACACTGTCCCTTACATTAAACTGGAGTGTCTGCCTTTTACTGTTTGGCTACTAAAATTTCTTCCCCGATAAAGGTCTTTTGCAACATCTGCCAGTCGTACAAGTTAATTGACTCAATTACTTCACAGCAATTATGAAACTTTTTTTTTTACCCCAATCTCTCCAAAAAATCATTTTTACAATATACATCTGATTTAGATTGTATTACAAGCATGTTATGCAATCAGAAGCTCTGATGGCTTCATAAAGTACTCATGCTGAACTCTCACGTTTTATAAGATAAGAACATTTTTGACCGAATTATATCCTTGTAACACATTCCAAGCAAGATTATGATTCTGTTTACATAAAGAGTTAAAGGTTGTGGAATTTACTGTGGGATTAGAGTCGAATTACATTAGATATCCCAGCAATTTAATAATAATCCAATGGAAATTTAATTTACTCACATCTATATATACACAATACAAAATTATATTTGTAAAGCGCCTTTCGAGTCGAGAGGATGTCCCAAGATGCTGAACAGTAAGGGATTAGGATCTGAGCTGAGGGGGCGGAGTGGGGGAAAGAGTTGGGATCAGGGAGGGTGGGGGGCAGGGAGGGTTGGGTAAGAGGGTGGGCGAAGGCACGGTTGAAGAGGAGAATCTTGAGGCATGCCTTGAAGGAGGCATGGGAGGGAGCAAAGCGAAGGGAATGTGAGATGGAGTTCCAGAGGGTGAGGGCAGAGAGGCTGAAGGCCCAACCGCCGATGGTGGGGCCAGGCGGGGCACTCGGTAACTGCACTAAATTCCTGTATTAGACCAAAGGAATGGCCTAGAAACTGAAAAAGTTACTTGTCTATTTACTGACTTAATAAGAAACTGTCTAAGCTAGGTGAACAATAATGTTGGTAAGACCATACTTAGAGGAGGTAACCTCATTCTTTGTATGAAGTTCACCCTACACACACAGGCAGGAATTTGTGTCAGACTAGATGGGGGAAATTCTCTAGGGAGTCTGTTCCTATAGGACCTCTCCCTCACTGCCAAATGCAAGGCTTCATTCTTGGTCACATATCTCAGGCTTTGACCAAAGAAGGCAACATAATAGGATAGCAATGAAAACATACAGCGGTTAAGCAACTCTGAGCAGCACCAAGTCAGAAATTCAGTCCTCTACCTCTGCAGGAAGGTGTTCAAGCGTTAATGTTTGGCAAAAATGATAGGCATGGAAATATTTATCACCCCCACTACAGTTCTATGTGTTTTTATTATTACAGAGGATTAGAGGAAGAAGAGGGATTTAAAGGCAGTTAAAATGTGGCCATCTACTTAATCTCCCAGTGAGATTACCTCTTTAGTTACATTAATACTGCATGTAAACGATTTTCTAATCACTAGTTTTATACCAGCTAAAAGAAAACAAGTAGTGATTAAGAACAGTTCTGTTTACACACATTTTGTAAACTATTTAGGGGAAAATACGTTTCTTTTATAAACATGCTGTTGAAAATGCACTAAATAACTTCAACATGTTGTGGTTATGTACAGTTTAGAATCCATCATGCATTAACATCCAAAAAGACACACAAACAGCGGAAAAAATTACCAAGGAGGAATTCTGCCAGCAGAGAGCTTCCCCTTCTGTGCTTCACTTAGCAGTTTATTTGCAACTAAGATTGGATTCTTGATCCCTAAAAGTGAAATTAAACAGTTTACTTCAGAAAAGGCCTTTGAATATTTGTGCCTATTGAATTACCGTTCCTCAATTAACAGTTTAAAAAAAGCAGAAATGCGGTACCTTTAAGATTTACTTACACATCATTTGACTGGTTAATGATTCAAGCAATGATTTTTAACTTGAACTCTCAGAAGTTCAGGTTTTTACTTCTACAGCTTGAAAACATTCAATTAAGAAATACAGCTAAAATCAAAATAAAAAGATTCCAGAGAAAAACAGGACAGTACAAGTTTTCAATTCAATTAATGAACAAAATGAAACGGAAGGGAAACGATCAAAGTAGGTAAATAAAAGGAAGACCTGAAACTTTCTGTATGTGAAAAAAAAACTAAAATTTGAGTAATTTGAGTAAAGCAGAAAGTTTCAGTGACACCTATCATTCTCATTCTCACCAGAATTCACTAAAAAGTGCAATGGGATCTTTAAAGTCCACTAGCTCTCATCCAAAGGACAGCACCTCCAACAATCCAGCAGTCCAACTGGACATCGCTGGAGTGTCAGCCTAGATTATGAGCTCAAATGTCTGGTATGGGGCTTGAACCCGCAACCTTCTGACGCAGAGAAGAGAATGCTTGCGACTGAGCCAAGCTGCCACCTGGAACTTTATGGAGGTACAGTAGAGGGCACTAATCCAATCATCAAATAATTAAATGTCTTTGTCTGTATTGGGCTCAGTTACAGAAAGGGCTGTGATGTTGCCACAGTTTTAGTTCTAAGCATTGTAATAAATGATTTGTATTATTATTAAATGTTACATAGCCTGATGGAAGATGATTTTGGGAAGTGTCGAAGACATCATATTCACAATGTTTTTATATCAAAAGGGCCAGTCCCAGTTGTGTGGATATCAGGTTCACTGGTATATATAATACGCTAAAGGGGAGAAAGTAAATCTACAATAATACTTTCAGATATGCCAAAGCAACAGGACCAGAGGGTATTGGTTCTTTTTAGGGTTGTGAAGGGCAATTTTCAGGCAAATACAGGAAATGTTTATTTACCTAAAGGACAATTAACAGTTGGAAAGAGGAACACAAGGGTGGGAATGCAAAGTTTTAGATCTATTTTTTGTCCCTTGGAGCCACATTCCTTGCTTCTTGAAGCTACAAAAGTGGTAAACAGTACATTTTTCCCCTAAAAGTTAATATTGCTGCTTCCTCTGTGAGATTTTGATTCAGGAAGTTGGCAAATGGATGTAGGTCCCTTATGAGAAGCTGTGCCGGGCATGAGGTCACGCAAAGTTAATGCCAAGTAAATTAAAAAAAAAACTTAAGACTACAAGAAAAAGTGGTGGATTGTGGATAGGAAGGAGGGTGAAAGAGCAGCAAATAATTCACAATCATTTCAAAGAAATTGCGGCAAAATCTTAAATCAAGTTATCTGCAGGTTTTCCAAAGAGAAGTATTCTGTGATGACAGCACAGCCAGTGTGGCTCATCGGTAGGACCTGAAAGGGCAGATTAGTCACTGGGGGTACGGAGTCATCCCACTCAGCTCCTGTGAACTCTGTAAGCCAAAGCCCTAACGGGACAGGTAGTCCTAGCTGAACAAGTAACCAGAAAGCTAGTCAGACAGCACTATCAATGACAAGCTACACGGGTTTAGCTGGTTAGACTCCAGCAGTACCCCAACTCACACTCTGGGGACCTCAAGCCTTGGCTCTTGCCAACCTGCACCTAATACTTTCCAGAATTAGCTAAGCAAGATGCGTCCTTCTAGGGTGAGAGTGTACATTTCATTCCAACAATTTTTCTGTGGGGTTTCCATGTGTAGGTGTGATACATGGAAATCTCAGCTTGGTTTGGATACTCTTAAGCATGGTGATGGGTTTTTACGCATGTGTCAGACACCCGGCTGACTAAAAAAAAGAGAAATCTCAAAGTGCAGTACAGGAAAATAAATATATATAATAATCCTTGTATTTGATATAGTGCTCTAACACATCGTTGAGACGTCTCACAGCACCACACAGGATATACTTTAAAGTAGATTAAATGTGTATTCTGTGGGTGAAACACACTGCAGTTTGCGCACAGCAATAACTGACAAACAGCCAAAGAGTGAGTGGCCAATTTTAGTTGGGGGGATTGTTGGCCTGGATACTGGGAGAAACTTCGTTCTCTTTTTGGATACTGCCATCGGATCTTTAACGTCCACCTGAACAAGCAGATGGGACCTCTGTTTAACGTCTCATCCCAAACCACGAATACACCCAAAGAGAAAAAATAATCTCAGTATCTTCTTAATTCATGAAGAAATTACATTCTGTCGATCAATTAGCTCCCATAGGAAGAAGCAGGGATCCACCCACAGATAATGAGCCACTTTTTTTAATAAAATGCAAGGATAGAAAAGCATGAGCTGCAGTGGTTCCTGCAAGGTTATAAAAAGAACATAGGATTTCATACATGGCAGGCATTTCAAAAGAATGTGCATGGATGTATAATGCAGACTATATTTTTTTAAAAGCTATCCATTTCCTCATTTCTCCTGAATGAATGAAACATCTTTACGGTATGGAAGCTTTGGAACTCTTTCCCTCAATCCCTCCGCCTTGCCCCCTCCTTCCCATCACAACGTCTTCTTTGACCGTGCTTACGGTCATCTCCATCCTCCCGACTTCCTCCACCATTGTTCCACTGCCCCGTGTGAAGGGCACTATCTAAATGCAACTTGTTGAGTAATAGGAATAGCAGAAACCATAAATTGAATCAGAAAATGCCAGAAATTCACAATAAGTCACAGCTAAGTCTGTAGAGCTAGTCTCTTTGAAGATTTGGCATTCTACAGTATTACAACATGATAGTGTAACAGAAGTACTGGACAAACCTAATTCCAGAATACTATTGAGGATATTCTGGACTTTGTACAGTCAATGTTCTTTTTGTTAAAAAAGGCACAAATCCTATTCTAATGCATTTTCCACATGCTGATTTTATTTAGTTTACTCATCTAATTTTCTTTACTTTTTTCCATTGCAAGTTCACACTTATAACCTTAGCCCTGGCATTGTGAGCGGGTGGCGGCAAGTGGAAACTCGAGTGCTTCAGCTTTCCTGGAAGAGGCCGTGTGATCACTCCTTCTCGTATGGTTTTCATTCTGGACAGCCCAACCATAAATATGCTGACTCAAACCCACTAAGTCAACCACAGGGGTATGGAGAAAAGGTAGGTAAATGGGACTAAAATGCTTGCTCGTAAAAGAGCCAGTATAGATACAATGGGCAAAATAACCTTCTTCCATGCTGTAAATCTCTATGGTTCCATGGTTTAAATCCACATGTCCTGATTGGGAACCTAAAATAACATTATTAATCAACCTCCAACACATTTTTCTCCAATTCAATCTTTCAATTGAGGCAACTAAGGAAAAAATATAATACTTAAACATTCAAAAGAAAAATTCAACATTAACAGGAATGCTCATATAATTTATAGTGGCATAACTCATAGCCATCATGATTGTGATAAACAATCTGCCCCTCTAGAAACTAGGGGAAAAAACATTTTTTGTCATAACCTGCCACTGAGGTAAGGAAAATGAATACCAGTCAAATGACTTCTTGCTTTCACTCCTATTCTTTTTAAAAATATTGAATTTGCTCCTTTGTGTTGCAATCAGATTTTCCTTCATTCTTTAAAAGGCCAATGATAAAAAGCTTGGCAACACACAAAATTTGTTTCTTAGGAGAGGACATGTCAGATCCAGACAGCAGATTTTTTTTTACCCAATTGATAGATGAACTGAAACACCTACTTTCTAGGTTATTTTCTTAAGAAAAAAAGGCTTAAAATTTACAAGCAATTTAAGTTCAATATAAAAATGACATGTATTTTGACTCGTGTGACTCAACACTTGAAAAACAGGACCGAGCTTTTAAAAATTTCCTGTTGTAATTAGCTAATTAGCTCGTATCGCAGCAAATTCAACTTTCTTTTAAAAACAGACTTGAAAACACAAGAGATTTATAATTGTCAAACTGATCTAAAAAATGAAATGATGATAGCCTTGAAATCAAACCTTTGTATGCTATTCCCCCATCAAAAAAAAACAGCTCCACGGGGTATAATGAAAATACCAACAGTCAGCGCGTTCTCAAATTGCCCACTGTCAAGTGCACACTGAAGAAGTAAGAACTATGACTTTGGCTTCATTTATACTGCTTGAAATGAAGTGATGTCAAGAAAGAGGTCTAATTTATTCCTTCAGCTCCTCATTGCTTTTGCTGGATTTGTGTTCCAGCTCCTCATTGCATTTGCCTGTGATGAGCTTTCATATTGGCTGTTAGCCTGTTAAATCTGGGAACATATTTAATAGCTTGAATAACAATCCGTTGAAAGTTCTTGGAATTTCAAGGGATTGTTATTGGACAGCCCAAGAACAATTAAGAGAACATTTTGGAGTAGAGTCCAATTAATTCATCTTGCTGCTTTTCTACAATATATTGTACGGCAAATCAAAGTGCTGTTTAAACCAACTCTTTGCTAACAGGAAACTGAGAGGAGTGTGAGTCTATTCATGATCATAAACAGTACAAAGCAGCAATAAAGAAGGTAAACACAAAGGGTGCTGGACTATATTGTCAAAGCAGTTCAGTCATTTCAGATCTCTATAAGGTACGCTCAAGATATACAGTGATATACTGACCAAGCTTCACATGCAGTACGCCATATGGTTACAGTCACTATGATATACGGGGACTATTCAGACTCAGGAGGCAGTAGAGGAGAGCAACACGGCTGATGCCCATTTTAGAGGAATTGTCATACATGAACAAATGGATAAGTTAGAGCTTCTTAGCTTTGAAAAGAGACTCTTGAATTACACAAAAAGTCATACCAAAAGATTATTTTCAGATATGCCAAGACAGCAGGACAGGGGGCACAAGTTCAAGGTTGCAATGAGTATACCTTGAAGGAGTTACAATGCTGAAAATGCCAAATTCATCATCAGTGAAGTACAATTATTAAACTAGTATGTTCAGGTTGCACTTACATTTAGGCCAATTAATTCCTATAAGCAATTCTTCCAATAAAGTGATCAGCATCCAATTGTTTAACACAATGTTCCCCCAAAAAAATTCTATAGGAAGACAACTTAAGAAAAAAAATGTTTTTGTATAAAAAGGGGTAATAATGAAAACATAATAATCCAAAATTAATATTTGACATAGCATCTATAACGTCGAAACTTAAGAACTCAGACCTCACTCTCATTATCTTTGTTACAATTCCCACAACTTAAATGCAACTGGCCTATTAACCAGAAAAATGGTAAATTCCTAATTCAGTATCTGATGCCAAACATTATCAACACCAAGCATTTGTTATATGGATTCCCCTGTTCCAATCACAGAAGCAATTTGACTAAGAAAGAATGATTTCAGCCTAGTAAAACTGTGGGGTAGGACATAGATATTTGGTTACCCACAGCTTTTGATGGTTGATAGATTTTAACTGATGATTACTGGGTAGTATCGCAAATACTTCACAAGTCTGAGTGTCCGAGCAATGCAAATACACTTTTCTTTTTCAAATGTTTCGAAGATTATCCGTTTAAAATTTGAACAGCCGATTCAAAATAAAAACAATTACATTTTGTGTACTTGTAGCCATTATAAAAATTGTGATTTTGATTTGTACAGCTTTGGTAGTATCTTAAAAATTATCTTTCACCCCAAAAACATGGGCACCATCTGAACACATGGTGACCAGCTGTGGCATCTTATTTTTCATTAAGATGGTCAACACCACTGACTCACGACTTAGTTACTCATTTATTATGTGGTCACATTCACTTGTGGTGGAAAACTCATTGCACAGCTGGCAATCACATAGCATTCATTAATTTGTGAAAATACAAAAATGGTCACAAAAGAACTCAACCCAAAATATGTAAGCCATGTCATAGTTGACATAGATACTCTCCCATATAGATCTACACTATGTAGAACAGGAACAGTTCCACGTATGTCCCACATACAATAGCCGTATAGCTTGGTATCCTGGCCAAAAATGTTCCAGAAACAAATTGATCATTCACTGCATGACTGTTTGTGAAACCTTGCTGTTCCATGTGTGCCTATGAAAACAGTCACTACATTTGACAATTACTGTAAATTGTTTTGCAACATTTTAACATAATAATAACATGATATTAATAATACGTGTGTCAGCCTGGGCTCACTGGTAGCACTCTCACCTCTGAGTCAGAAGGTTGTGGGTTCAAGCGTCGTGACTTGAACTCGCATAGCCTAAGCTGACACCCGAATGCAGTGCTGGGGGTGTGTTACATTGTTGGAGGTGCCGTCCTTCAGGTAAGACGTTAAACTGGGGTCCCATCTGCCTGTTCAGGTGGACATTAAAGATCCCATGGCACTATTTGAAAAGAGAAGGGAATTTCTCGCGGTTTCTTGGCCATCAATCCCTCAAATAAAATTTGGTCATTCACTTTGTGGCTGTTTGTGGTGCTTTGCTGCACGCAAATTGGCTGCTGCATTTACCCACAAATACACAGTTACTCCACTGGCACTTTACGGTTAATCCAGTGAAACGATTTTGGGCCTTCTCCCGACGTGAAATCACCATACCAAATGTAAGGCTTATTATTATTAATTATCCTTCCATTTACCGCATCATCAAAAGGTTTCAAAGCACTTCACAGGATTTTCTGTAGAGTGTAGTGACTGTATATCTTGTAGGAGAATACGGCAGCCAATTTGTGCACAGCAATGTCCCACAAACAGCCACAAAGTAAATCCATTGCGATGGATGAATGGGCACAGGTAACATTGCTGCAGATTGCACAACATTGTGTGAAGTCGCCTGATGTCACTGCTTACAGACAGCCACAGGAAACAAACAGTCTGTCAAAAGCCATGTGTATCAATCGTGAAAGGGACCATCAATGACATTTCCAAATACAAGGAAAACTAAAATAGATAAATGTATTTGTCAAATTATTTATGGTAGCAAAATAATTCAAAGCAGAATGCTGAACTCAGATGGAAAGAAAAAGGTAAATGGAATGACTTCGATTGGCATTTATTACTATACTAAAATGTACTACATGTAACTGAATTCTTTAAAATGACTTGGAATTAACATTTTTCTGAAATCAGACCAAATTAAGTAAAATTCATAACATAATAGGAATGAGATTAACCATTCAATTTTGTTTAGTTCCTTTACACACCTGAGCACCAATTGTGAAACCACATGGGTGTTTAAGTGCACATACCCCTGAGTGCTCCAACCGCTCCAAAATTCAAGGACTTTCCATCCATCGTACTGGCATCACATTCAATATCCCCAGACAGATTTAGATTGGATCCCATCCCTGCATTGGTGAAAGGTGAGTCCTGAAACAAAAAAAGTTAACCATGTAATGGATCATTTCTTGGATCTCAAACAGTAAAGCAGATTTAGTTATAACATTGGCCTCTACAAGGAAGAGTGCTCATGTTTCCCTCTTCTGACATTCACATTCTGTTACCTAAAATTTAGAATGACTGAATTCATATTTCAAGTTTTTCTAACTCTAAAGATACTGATGTTCAGGCACCCCTAATGGTGTAGTGGATAGAGCTTCAGCTTACAAGATTGGGAGCTTGCTGGTTTGAATCTCAGACCATGCTGAGTTAACTAGTCTCAGCCAGGGCTGCAGGGAAAGTCTACATTGGCTCAGATCTTCCCCGAATTAGGCAGGAGAAAAACCTGCCAGGGTTCTTGCTCAGGGTCCCTTTACAATATCTACTAGTAGGCCATTTGTGTGGCAGTTGGATGAGGAGAGGTCAAAGATGGCTGGGCTATCACCTTGCTGATACTCATTGCCAAGGATCAAAGCTGAATAAGGGTACTAGAGGGCAGCCGATGCATGTGGAACTACACATTGGCATGGAGGCTGGGGACCAGAAGAAGCATATGAAAAAAATTGGAAAAAATAATTGGACTCACTAAATCTATATTAAAAAAAGATGTTTATAATGTTATCTGGAAATCAAGCAGAAGCATCAGAAAAACAAACTAGAAAGTAAAACTACTTCTCATAAAATCATTACAAAAAAATCCCTGAAAGTGAATTGTACACTTTACCAAATGTGTTATTGATCAAGTGAGCTAGCGGCAGAATGAAACAGAGTAAAACTTGAAATGCACTGTTCCAACAATGAATCTTAATCCACATTACTGAAAATTACACCTCGGGAAACTTCCCATTCTTACCATCCTGTTGAGCCAAGCGAGAATGTCAACTGAATGTCAATTTATGTTGAATTATAAGCAGATTTGCAGTCCAGACCATGTCCATGAGGAACTGAGTTCAGACAGTCCAAACACATTTCAAATTGGACCTTTACACTAATTTCATGCCATCAATTTGAGCTCTTCAAAGAGATTTCTCCCAAATGCTACCCAAAAGCCTCAGGGGCATTTTCATAAAATGAAAATGCCATCCAAACCACAAACAAACACGATTTTTTTAAAAACAAATTCAGTTGTTCATTGAATACAGCTTTCAATTTGAACTTTTACTACTTCATTTTGCTTATTATTATTTCATAGTCAATGTTAACCTTTTGAAACCCGGAAGGCAAATGGATGGTGTTTTATTGTAACTTTCTGCGCCATAAAATGCCCTAACAGTGTCCAATGTGTGTCAATTATCAAACTGGTGAGAGAATTGCCTACTGAAATCTAGGCACTAAAATCTTCCTTCTTGGAAGGAAGGAGGATGCGTTTTTGAACCAAATAAATCGACTTCCACAGCAACACAAACCGAGAACACTTAGGAATGGCACCTTCTTCATTTTTTATTTCATTTCTTTGTGGGAATGAACAGGATGTCATTCAAATGAACATAATCAACATTATATCAGTTAACTTTATCCACAAAATATACACTTTACAGCAAAGTCCTGAGATATCTTGTGCCTTGAAATGTGCTATATTAAATATAAGGATTATTATGGATTATTGTTCCTTTCAGATAAACCATTTGATCCGATGGTCTAGACAGGGTTATGATTTTAGAGAATATTCGTCAAGATTTCGATCTACATTTTGAGTTTCTTAAATTTTTTCTTCTCTGGTGCAATCCAGATATTTTGTCTGATGACTTCAGATTTCATTTTTTTTGCACCCAAGAGGCCTGCCGATTCCCCAAAAAATGGAATGGTCGAGTCCCATGTCTCTCCAGTACCAGTTTTATATGAAGGAAAGTGAATTTGTTTGTTATCCTTAGGCATGCAATTGTCTTGCCAATTCTCAGATCCTGGCTACAATCCTATATTTACTTGCCTCCTTGGAATTGTTCTTTTCTGTTGATACGTTAGATGAACATTCCATTGTTTTTACATGTACCTGAAAGGATCAGACCCCAGGAAGAAACCTTGGGCAAGTTTCCTTACTCCACATGCCTAATAATAATGACTCCAAAAAAAAAAAATAATAAATTGGTCATTTTCAATCTACGACCGTTTGTGGGACACTGCTGTGCGCAATTGGCTGCCGCGTTCGCCCAGAAATATACAGTCAATTCACTTTACAGTGTGTTCTGTGAAGCGCTTTGGGACGTCCTCCCGATGTGAAAAGCACTATATCAAATGCAAGGATTATTATTATTAAGTTGGTTGTGGAGTTTTTTTTGCAACCCAGCAAATCTTTGATGATGTACTTGGATGCTTGGGTGGAAGTTCCAAGCATTGCAGGTCAGAGGAAGTCAAATAAATTTTATATGAAGGATGAACAAGATTTAGAGAATCATTATAATAATAACTAAATTTGATATAGGATCTTACAACTTTGTCAAAAGGTCTCAAAACACTCAGGATTTTACTGTAAGGTGTAGTAATTGTGTACCTGTGTGTAAATGCGATAGCCAACTTGAACACAGCAATGCCACACAAACAGCTATGAAGTGAGTGACCGATTTTATTTGGGGGGATTGTTGACCAGGACACTGGAAGAAAGTCTTTTCTCTTTTTGAATATTGCCATAGGAACTTTATCGTCCAACCTGAACAGGCAGACTTTAAAATTATTGTGATAAAATGCACTACGCATACACCACCAGGCAATAGAGACCCAGGTTAATGGTTCAGCACCCCCTAAGTTAGAGAGGGGAATTCAGCAAGGAATACTTCTGATAAACTGTACTTTGATGTGAAATATGTGAGTGCATGTCAATTGTAGTGGAATGCAGAAATAAATATCAGAGATGGCTGGAAAACAAACTCAGACGAGGTCACACACATAACGGCAGATATATTTTCAAGATCATTTAGTACTTAGTCAGCAGAGAGATACCAGCAGTCATAGTCAACAAAAAAAATGCTTCAGAGCACAATTCTACACTAAAATGAATAAACCTTTGCCCTTTGGGCAAGTCAGTCCATGGAGTTACCGGATTAAAATCTGAGTTCACTCTGACCAAGTGTGTGCTCCATCTAGTGGCCAAGACAAGAGCTTGAATGTGGGCCCCTCCATATGGAAACATTATCTATCACGAGACCGAGTGACCTGCCTTTGATTTTTGACTTCTTGGCTGCATTGAATTCAAACATTTGTATGCTGGTACCTGAACAGCTGCTGAACAAATGGCTGAGCACAAGTTATAAGCAAAGACGATAACCAGCCATAAATTCATACAGAAAGCTAAAAACAAAATCTAATGATTGGACAGCAAATGATAGCGAAAATAAATGATCGTTAATTCTCAAGGTTACAAATCTGCTTGCCCATTACAAAGTAAATCTTTTATTCTCAATGACCACTCTCTTTATGCGCTTCAGAGAAGTCAGCAAAAACATGCACTCTGCCAGTTTCTTTTCTTGACAAACCAAGAAAGCAAACATACTAAATAAAATGTCACAAAAAGAACATCACATCCATTTCAGACTATATTAATGACTATCTACTTATAAGTTACTGCAGCATACTATAAAATGTCAACTGATGAACTGAAATAGATAAACAAATGCACATTTAAGATGCAGAGTGCTTCAGAGCTAGTTCTAACAGGATTAGCTCTGATGTACATGGCAGAATACAAAACATCAAAGTCACATAAGACAAACAGCACTGGCACAAACTCCTTCATGTGAAGTGGTTTCCACATCATGAGTCACAACATTAGTGGAACATACACAAAGGCCAGCAATTCCAAAATTACATTGCTGGCCTGCAGGGATGGTTAACAGCCCGCAGTTTATATATTCTCAGTTGATGTTGCCTCCAGAGGTGGGATGAGGAACCACTTTGCAAAAGAATTATTATTAATCCTGGAGGCAACAGACCCGACGTGAAAATTGCATCTACTGGCTTAGATTTATTCTACCACTTATATTTTATACATTCGTCGGCATTTCTCAAACTGAGGAACATTCAGTGAACAGTGCTGCAGTGAGCATGATTATTTAAAAAGACAATGTTAGAAGAAGACACTTTCAGTGAAAAACATGCTCCATCATTCTTTTAAAAACAAGAAATGTCAAAAAAAAAGTTCTTGTGTGCTGATGGAAGGACAAGGAAAGCATTGGATTGCGCTTTGAAGTCCAACATGGTCAAATAGCCTGCCAATAATCACTGTCTAGGTTCACACGAAAATAGGAACTTGGGTAAGATATCAAAGGGTGTCTGGACAACTCCCTGTCAAGAACAACTGCCTCCAGGAGAGGAGAGTGCAGTAAAATAAGAGCTAAGAAAAAAAAACTTTAAAACTCGAATTTCACTTTGGCTGGAACTTTATGTTGTAGTAAGAAAATTTTACCGAGCATATACTGAGCTAGCCAAAGTTCTTTAACTATGTAATGTTAGCCACGTTGGGATCATTTTACAATAATGTAGCACAATTATTTAGGATGATTTCGAAACACCTACAGAGACTCTGTAGGAGTCCTGTAGGTAACAGTTAGAGCACTTGGCTCTCAAGCGAGAGGACCCACGTTCGATTCCCGGCACGGGTGAAACCTTAGGCAAGTTTCCTTACTCCACACGCCTCTGTTTACCTAGCAGTAAGTAGGAAACCGGCTGTTAAGTCGATTGAAAGGATCGCTTCCAGGTGTAATAATCGGTCACTCAAATTGTTTGTGGGACACTGCTGTGCGCAATTGGCTGCAGAGTTTCTCCCACAAAATACACAGTCAACTCACTTTGCAGTACATCCACACATTTATCACATCCACAACAACAACAAAATTACATTTGTATGGCGCCTTATAATAATAATAATCCTTGCATTTGATATAGCGCTTTTCACGTCGGGAGGATGTCCCAAAGCGCTTCACAGAACACACTGTAAAGTGAATTGACTGTATATTTGTGGGCAAACGTGGCAGCCAATTGCACACAGCAATGTCCCACAAACAGTCGTAGATTGAAAATGACCAATTTATTATTGTTTTTGGTTTTGGAGGGATTATTATTAGGCTCTGTGTGGAGTAAGGAAACTTGTCCAAGGTTTCACCCTGACCTGCCTGGAATTGAACTCAGGTCTCTCGCTTGCAAAGCGAGTGCTCTAACCACTGAGCTACAGGACTCCACTTTTATGTCAGGCGGACGTCCCAAGGTGCTCAATCAATGTTTCGGACCTGATCTGGGACTCGGGATCGGGGAGGGTGGAGGGGAAGGAGGAAGATGGAAGGCACGGTCGAAGAAGAGGGTCTTGAAGGAGGCAAGGGAGGGGGCGAGGAGGAGGGACTGCGGGATGGAGTTCCAGAGGGGGTGCAGAGTGGCTGAAGATTGGCCTGCCAATAGTGGGGCGGGTGAGGTGGGTGACGTGAAGCAGGCCATTAGAAGGGTGATGGACTTGAAACATTGAGCCACTTTCCTTTCTCCACAGATGCTGCCTGACCTGCTGAGTGTTCCCAGCAATCTCAAATTTATAGAAGATACTGATTGGAACAGCAACACAAAAGTTGCTGGGATTTAAGGCTCTATGTTTTTGCCAGGAATACAAGAACTGCTGTAATTAAATGTCAACAAATTGCACCAATTATAAAAATGCCAATAGCAATAGCAGTTAAAATTCTCCCAGATAGTGCTGCCAGCTGGAACTTTATACTAGCCATACAAGCTTATGTACAAAGTTAACCTTCACTTGTTAAACCAGAGTGACAAGAGCATGCATTAGATGAAGGGAAATCTCACACCTCTTTAGCATTCCAATCTCTCTGTAAACCTCACATAAGTCAGGACCATACATTTAATACAATTTATACAAAGTATTAGTTATGTGAAAGTTACAGGAAATTCAACAGGACTTGGGCAGATGTACCACTTAGGCAGTTATACGAATTATACAGAGCCATGGGAGTTTTACTGTATTCTCCAAAACAGGATTATCTTGCCAGTTTCCACCTTACACAGAATAAAAATAATAATTCTTGCATTTGATATAGGCCTTACCACGCCTTTGAGACGTTTCAGGAATATACTGTAAAGTGAATTAACTGTATATTTTATGGGCCATTCGCGGCAATGTTGGTCTCGCCCACCCCACTCCCAATAAAGTATTTTGAATTCCAAGCATGATCAGAAACCGGGGATCTGAATCAGCTAAAACATTTTTAAAAATGGTTTTCGCACCTTTCTTTTAGCTTTTCTACAGTCAAACTGAAGGACACAGTCTGCAAGCAGACCAATAGAACAAAACTGGCAGTCACAAATATTACTGTGAATATAAAATTGGACTACTACAGCCAATTACAGTATTAAATAATGTCACTTTTTGGCAATCTCAAAATAGCTTACCTTTCTGATTCATTGTCCCTAAATTTCAAAAATAATAACAAAACTAAAACGAATAGAAGGCAGGTTTTTTTTTCTCATAATTACTCACTGCTGCATTATGTTGCTGATTGATGTCAAGGCAAGAAAAACAGACTTCTAAACAGGTAAAACATCTAATCGGTTTGACTGTAGACATGATAAAACCATACCCCAATCACAAAGTGATTTGAACCATCTAATGGATTATAGAGACATGAGAACATCTGAGATGCGTTGCATCTCATCTAAGAAGTTGTTTGTAGCTCGACTCTTACCTCTAGTTCGACAAGGGCTGCTGTTACTACGTCAACAGCAAGAGCTCCAGCCTGCAGTTTCTCTATTGCCTGAATGGGAAACAGGTTTCGGGTTAATGTGCACCAACCATAAAAAGCTTTGCATTAAAACATTAGATATTTTAGATGACGGTTAGAGCACTCGCTTTGCAAGCGAGAGACCTGAGTTCAATTCCAGGCAGAGGGCGAAACCTTGGGCAAGTTTCCTTACTCCACACAGAGCCTAATAATAATCCCTCCAAAACAAAAAAACAATAATAAATTGGTCATTTTCAATCTACGACTGTTTGTGGGACATTGCTGTGCGCAATTGGCTGCCGCGTTCGCCCACAAATATACAGTCAATTCACTTTACAGTGTGTTCTGTGAAGCGCTTTGGGATGTCCTCCCGACATGAAAAGCGCTATATCAAATGCAAGGATTATTATTATGACAATCTATTGTAACATTTTGATTATTTTAATAAACATTTTATAAAATGTTTGAATAGAATGATTACATAGTAAGGAGGGTCTTTTCTTCATTCTTCCAATGAAGTCATCCGCTACACACTGCTGGGTTCAGGTACTGGCAAGGGGGAAAAAATTACAAGGGAAATATCACTACAGGACCTGTAGGTCTGCTGCTGAAGCTAGCTCACAACATAGAGCTGTCAAAGCCAATCATCTAAAGATAGACCTGCAAGAGCAACAATTACAGGTGAGCCGCAAGGATTGACCGGCATTTTGTAAATACCCTAAGAGCTTCTGAAAGTTTAAAGGGGAGCCCTGAGGTGACCAAGACCAACTATTCTGAGGGACGTAGGTGGTAAACCATTATCAGGATTCACAGGTGTTTTAGGCAGCAGAGCAACGCAGCATGATACTGATGCAGAGCATCACGCATTTCTTGCCGAGTTGTACTGCTTACCATTTAGCTCATACGGTGTTCTGGGATACCTGTTATGTATCCAGTGAGGACGCACTTATCAGATGTCAAATGACCAACTAGTGATCATCCTCCCTGCAGGAGAGGTGCAGGGTAAGTAAGCAAGGACCTTGTAATTGAACAATTTGCAAGGTGGTAAGTTTGGCCATGGAATGTTGGAATCGAGTCAACCCCCGTGACACCGATAGACACGATCATGAGCCAGATGGTTCAGAGCGTTTCTCGACACTGCTGATTGTGGACAAGCTCGCCTGGTTGTTCAGCAGGATTTGGAAGGAAGGACCAGGAGCAGTATTTTTCCCACTTGGTAGCAATCTACACCTGGACCGACAAATCTAGCCCCGTCTGGCCTCCTCCTTGTCCCCCGAATCCTCCGCTCCATCATTGGCTGCCGTACCTTAAGCCACTACGCCCCAAGGCTCTGGAACTCCCTTACTCAGTCCCTTCGCCTCTCCCACTTTCTTCCTATTTTCAGGTCTGAAGACCTTTCTTTTCGACCGCGCCTTTGGTCACTTTCTTCCCCCTCCCCCTGGCTCGGCCCCGGGATCCATTACTCTGAAGCGTTCTGAGACGCAGTCCGGCGTAGAGGGCGCTATATAAATCCAAGTTGTTGTTGTTGTTGTAGCCTTTGCAGACAACACATGTAAGCAGACTTAAAATTAGATAGAAATCACACTTGTCCATATAATTTTTCAAGGACCAATAGAAGAACTATGTATTGTGGCCATCTGCAAAAGCGGAGGCATTCTTACATCTAGGGTAGGGTAAGTTTGAACTGAAATGAACATTTGAGGAATCAAGCATCCTTATTCACCCCATGGTTTATGTGGCAAAAGCATTATAATCTTTGCATTTGATAGACATCAAAGCACTTCACTGTATTTATTAAAAATGACTGCCTACAAATAAATAGTGACTACACAAACAACAAAGTCCCTCAAACAGCCATAATAATAATAATAATCCTTGCATTTGATATAGCGCTTTTCACGTCGGGAGGACGTCCCAAAGCGCTTCACAGAACACACTGTAAAGTGAATTGACTGCATATTTATGGGCGAACGCGGCAGCCAATTGCGCACAGCAATGTCCCACAAACAGTCGTAGATTGAAAATGACCAATTTATTATTGTTTTTGGTTTTGGAGGGATTATTATTAGGCTCTGTGTGGAGTAAGGAAACTTGCCCAAGGTTTCGCCCTGACCTGCCTGGAAATGAACTCAGGTCTCTCACTTGCAAAGCGAGTGCTCTAACCAATGAGCTACAGGACTCCACGAGGTGAATGACCAATTTTATCTGTGTGATTGTTGGTTAGGCCATCAGGAGAAACTCCCTTCTCTTTTCACTTACTACGCAGGAGCAGTATGTGGTCTAATTGGTCTACCCAAAGAAACACATTAATTATCCTAAAGCCAACATTAAAAATGAATTGTACTCTTGTACTATTTAAAAAAAATACCAGTTGGAATACAAGTAACTGCTCACTAAGTAAAAACAAGAAACGTGACACAAATGCTGGGAATTAGAAATTTGTTAGTCAAAAAAAAACCTTAGTTTTATGGAACAAGAGATTGGATGGGCAACAACATCCTAAAGAGATATTCCTAGTGATCTTTTTCTTTCATTTTGGTATCTTGCAATACATTAAACAACAACAACAAGATTATATTTGTATAGCACTTTCATGTCGGGAGAACGTCCCAAGGCTCTAAACAATGTAAAGCATTTCAGCAATATGCCAAAAAATGCCAGCAATATGCCAAAAAAAACTTAAATAAAAAAACATGTAATTCGTACACAAAAGTGTCAGCTTGGCTCTGATGGTAGCACTTCACATAACAACAACAACTTGGATTTATGTAGCGCCCTCCACACCGGACAGCGTCTCAGAGCGCTTCACAGTAACGGATCTCAGGGCAGAGCCAGGGGGAGGGGGAGGAAGGTGATCAAAGGCGTGGTTGAAAAGGTCTTCAGCCAAGACCTGAAAATAGGAAGAGAGGGGGCGAGGCGAAGGGAGTTCCATAGCCTCGGAGCGTGGTGGCTGAAGGCACGGCCGCTGAGGATGGAGCGGAGGACACGGGGGACAAGGAGGAGGCCAGACCTGGTGGAACGAAGGCAACGGGCACTGTTTTGAGGATAGAGGAGGTCAGAGAGGTAGGGGGGCTGTAGAGGAGTGGAGGGATTTGAAGACAAGGGTGAGGATCTTGAAATCGATCCTCACTGGGACAGGCAGTCAGTTCAGTCTGGAAAGGACTGGGGTAATTGGGGAGCGGAGTTTGGTGCAGGTAAGAATACTGACAGCAGAGTTTTGTATGGCCTGGTAGTGGAGGGGAGACCGGTGAGGAGGGCACCTGAATAGTCCAACCAAGAGGTGACAAAGGCATGGACCAGGGTTTCAGCGGCTTCCGGAGAGAAGATTTGGCGGAGACAGGCAATGCGTCGGAGGTGGAAGAAAGCGGTGCTGGTGATGGACAGGATGTGGGGGAGGAAGGATAATTGGGGGTCGAACTAGACACCTACAACAACAACAAGATTCCATTTATTGAGCGTCTTTCACGTCGGGAGGACGTCCCAAGGCGCTGTACAGTTGGGTCGGGACCAGAGCAGGGGGGAAATGGTCAGGGTGAGGGGAGGGAAGGGAGGGAGCGAGGAGGGGGTAGAGAGTCGAGAGGGGAGCTGAAGGCACGGTCAAAGAGAAAGGTCTTGAGACCGGCCTTGAAGGAGGAAATGGAGGAAGCAAGGCGAAGGCATTGGGGGATAGAGTTCCAGAGCCGAGGGGCTGAAGGCCCGGCCACCGATGGTAGGGCGGTTGGGGCGGGGGATGTGGAGCAGACCGGAGCCAGAGGAACGGAGGGTACGGGCAGGTAGGTAGGGGGATAGTAGGTCGGAGAGGTAGGAGGGAGCAAGGACGTGAATGGCCTTGTAGGTGAGGGTGAGGATCTTGAATTCGATCCTCTGGGGGATGGGGAGCCAGTGGAGGCGAGCGAGGGTGGGAGTGATGTGGTCCCGAAGCCTGGTGCGGGACAGTACACGAGCTGCAGAGTTCTGAATGACCTGCAGCTTGTGGAGGGAGGTGCCGGGAAGGCCGGCGAGGAGAGAGTTCCCATAGTCCAGCCTTGAGGTGATAAAGGCGTGGACCAGAGTTTCAGCAGCGTGAGGGGTGAGGTAGTGCCGTAGTCTGGCGACATTCCGGAGGTGATGGAAGGCGGTGCCAGTTGTGGTGCGGATATGGGGGAGAAAGGACAGCTCAGGGTCGAACAGAACCCGAGGTTCCTGACTGGCTTTGAGAGGTGGAGAGTGCAGCCTTGGATGCTGATGTTGTCAGCGCCTGAGGTGCGGAGGCGCTGACGTGAGCCAATCAGGAGGGCCTCAGTTTTGCGCACGTTGAGCTGGAGAAAGTTATCTCTCGTCCAGGACTCGATGTCGGACAGGCAGCTGTCAGGACATCGGTGGTCGTGGAGTTGAGGGTAGAGGAGGAAAGGTAGAGTTGGGTGTCATCCGCATACATGTGGAAGTTAACCCCATGTCTGCGGATGATGTCACCGAGGGGGAGCATATAGAGGGTGAAGAGGAGGGGACCGAGGACAGAGCCCTGAGGGACACCGCACGAGACAGTGCGGGGGCTGGAGGAAAAACCATTTGTGGAGACAAAGTGAAGACGGTGGGAGAGGTACGACCTAAACCACTCAAGGACAGGGCCTTGAAGGTTTAGGTGGGAGGACAAGCGGTGGAGGAGGATAGCATGGTCGACCGTATCGAATGCTGCCGATAGGTCGAGGAGGACGAGGAGGCAGAGGGAGCCCTGGTCACAGATGGTCAGGATGTCATTGGTGACCTTGACCAGGGCAGTTTCTGTGCTATGGGCAGCACGGAAACCCGACTGAAGGGGTTCGAATAGTGAATGGTTGGAGAGGAAAGAGCGCAGCTGGGAGGCGACAACTCGTTCCAGGACCTTGGATAGGAAGGGGAGGTTGGAGATGGGCCGGTAGCTTGATAAGTTTCACATGGGTTCGGAGAGTTTTAGTGGGAGGTCGAGTAGGTGGAGTTGAGAACCGTGTGATTTTAGACGTTGATGAGAGCCAAAGAGTATGGCTTCCGTCTTGTCAATGTTCAGCTGAAGGAAGTTTGCGCTCATCCAGCTCCTGAGGTTTGACAGGCAGGCTGACAGAACATCAGGAGACTGGGGGTCGCAAAGTGAGCAAGTCCACTGTCTTGCAAGGCAAGGCACTGTCCTTGAATGGTTTAGGTCGTACCTTTCTCACCATCTTCACTTTGTCTCGACGAATGGCTTCTCCTCCACCCCCGTACTGTCTCATGTGGTGTCCCTCAGGGCTCTGTCCTCGGTCCCCTCCTTTTCACCCTCTATATGCTCCCCCTTGGTGACATCATGCGCAGACATGGAGTTAACTTCCACATGTATGCGGATGACACCCAACTCTACCTTTCCTCCTCTACTCTCAACTCCATGACCACCGATGTCCTGACAGCTGCCTGTCCGACATCGAGTCTTGGACGAGAGACAACTTTCTTCAGCTCAACGTGCGAAAAACCGAGGCCCTCCTGATTGGCTCACGTCAGCGCCTCCGCACCTCAGGCGCCGACACCATCAGCATCCAAGGCTGCACTCTCCACCTCTCAAAGCCGGTCAGGAACCTCGGGGTTCTGTTCGACCCTGAGCTGTCCTTTCTCCCTCACATCCGCACCACAACTGGCACCGCCTTCCATCACCTCCGAACATCGCCAGACTACGGCATTACCTCACCCCTCACGCTGCTGAAACCCTGGTTCACGCCTTTATCACCTCAAGGCTGGACTATGGGAACTCTCTCCTCGCCGGCCTTCCCGCACCTCCCTCCACAAGCTGCAGGTCATTCAGAACTCTGCAGCTCGTGTACTGTCCCGCACCAGGCTTCGCGATCACATCACTCCCACCCTCGCTCGCCTCCACTGGCTCCCCATCCCCCAGAGGATTGATTTCAAGATCCTCATCCTCACCTACAAGGCCATTCACAGCCTTGCTCCCTCCCCCTCTCCCCCCCCACTCTCCCTACCCGCCCGTACCCTCCGTTCCTCTGGCTCCGGTCTGCTCCACATCCCCCGCCCCAACCGCCCTACCATCGGTGGTCGGGCCTTCAGCCTCTCAGCCCCGGCTCTGGAACTCTATCCCCAATGCCTTCACCTTGCTTCCTCCCTTTCCTCCTTCAAGGCCGGTCTCAAACCTTTCTCTTTGACCGAGCCTTCAGCTCCCCTCTCGACTCTCTTCCCCCTCCTCGCTCCCTCCCTTCCCTCCCCTCACCCTGACCATTTTCCCCCTCCTCCCTCCCTCACCCTGACCATTTCCCCCCTGCTCGGGTCATGACCCAACTGTTCAGCGCCTTGGGACGTCCTCCTGACGTGAAAGGCGCTTTATAAATGGAATCTTGTTGTTGTTGCTGTTGAGGTGGAAAAATAGAGTTGGGTGTCGTCCGAATACATGTGGAAGTGTACCTCATGTCTGTGGATGACATCCCCAAGAGAGAGCATGTAGATCAGAAAGAGGAGGGGGCCAAGGATGGATCCTTGGGGTACCACGAAGTTTACCCGGTGAGAACGGGAGGAGAAGCCGTTTGTGCAGATGTACTGTGAGGTAGGACTCGAACCAGGCGAGTGCGGTTCCACTGAGGTGGATGACGGAGGAAAGGCGGAGGAGGACGATGGCGTGATTGACTGTGTTGAACACAGCGGAGAGGTCCAGGCAGACAAGGAGGCAGAGGGAGCCCTGGTCACAGATAGAGAGGATGACATCTCGGTCAGTGGTGGTTTCAAGCCCTTTGAGAGAGGAGTTTCTCCCATTGTTCTGGTAAAAAAATCTCTAGATTAATTCTTTATTTATTTCAAAGCTGTCTGCATTATGTGATGCAAATTGGTTCCTTGTTTGCCTATAAATACAGTAAATAGATTTTCTTGAAATTTCTTGAAGAGTTTTGCCCAATTTAGACGTCATAGGCGCTATATGAAATGCAACGATTTTTAAAAGCAAACTTACAAGGGAGCATGGGCTTAAACTGAAAGGAGAAAGGTGAACATACAGTTTATATTTAATCGCTTTACACAAAATGGTGAACATGTGGAATGGACTACTCAGGGAGATAGATAGTATCAGAACATTCATGAAAGAATTATAGTTATTTCCCAAAGAAATTGATCAAGGAGTATGAAAATATGGTGTATTTTTTAAAAAAAAACTTTGCAATGGTAGGTGGATAGCAACTGTCTTTTCCTGTGCTGTACAGTATTGTTCAGAATATCACAAGATGACATTCCTACCTTTTGGCAGGCTTTCTTACAAACTTGCTTGTACTCCTTTGCCTTGGATTCAGAATGATAGCCTGCTCCTAAAGCAACCAGTTATTAAATAATTAGTAGTGTACTGAAAATTAAACAATTATGTTATTATATCATAATATATCTGTGAAATAAAACTAGATTTTAACAAAACATGCAAGCAATGCAACTATTACACTCACTTTTCTAAATACTGTAATAATAAACTTTGAATTTGATACAGCGCCTTATCACGTCATTGGGACATCTCAAACACATCACAGGATGTACTGCAAAATGGATTGACTAGGTATTCTGTTACTATCACATTTATTTGAAGAATAACACTACACTTTTTGGCAGAAAACTTTATTGAATGTAGTCACAATCATAACTATAAAGATACATTTTAAAATATTCTGTTGATGGGTTCTATTATTGTAGTAACAATGTTTACTTACTGAATACCACCTACTGAAAGGCTTTTATTTCAGAAATTAACAGGAGTTTACAATTAAATTTGTTGTTAAACATTTCAAGAATAACAAATTTAACACTAAATACATTGTAGCATTGTGCCTGATACAATTAACACTACAAAAACAATTCTAGGTCAAGCTCATTCTAGAAAAATTCTCTTAGCTTCTTTATAGCAGTTAATTTGAGATAAAAATCCAATTTGGAAATCTTACAAATAAATAAAAACTGAATATGTAATTAGATGTCAATAGCACATGCACGTGTTTAAGATCAGAACATTACTTTTATACTATCTTTTACTCCACTTCAAGCCTTCAAACCAAATATTTGACTCCAGAAAACTGAATGCGTAAACCAAGATTAAGAACCAAGGTTAGGTCCTGGTCTCAACCACCCTTCCGATCTTCAATTACCCTCTGGGTAAAGGCTTACTTCCCGGTGTCTGTCCTGAAATTGCCCGTTGCAAAGTCTAAACCACTGCATGGCCAGTGGGGCCATCAACTAGTGACCCGCTGAACATTCATACCAGTCCAGGGGACTCCATTCCAAATCAATGCCTTGTTTCCAGTAGCTGCCGAGCACAATACCCATGGCCCTGAATCCAGAACATTTATTGGGTTAGCCACCACTACACGAAACCAACCTGTCTGGATTTTTAAACGTTAGGAGACACACTACTACCTCCCATCACTTGAAGGATGCAATATAAATATAGATTCATATAAACTGTTGGCTTATATGAATTTACATGAATATAAATCGGTTGCAATTAAAAGGCCGGTGGCCGATCTGGCCCTGTAAACAGGACATTGTACTGTTTGGAGATGTGGGTGGTGCACAGGGGTTTGGTTCTCCCAAAAATACAGTCACTACACTTTACAGTATATCCATCCTGTGATGCGCTGTGAGACATCTGGACGACGTGGTGAGGTGCTTCATCAAATGCAAGGATTATTAGTTTAAACACAAGGTACGGGTGGGGGGGGGCGGGAGTTGAGACGGGGGAGAGTTGAGGCAGTTGGGGGGTGTGAGAGTGGTGGGGGGGGCAGAGGGAGTGGGGGGCGGGCAGAGGGAGTGGGGGGCGGGCAGAGGGAGTGGGGGGCGGGCAGAGGGAGTGGGGGGCGGGCAGAGGGAGTGGGGGCGGCAGAGGGAGTGGGGGCGGGCAGAGGGAGTGGGGGCGGGCAGAGGGAGTGGGGGGCGGGCAGAGGGAGTGGGGGGCGGGCAGAGGGAGTGGGGGGCGGGCAGAGGGAGTTGGAGAGGGAATCGGGGGCAGAGGGAATGGGGGGGAAGAGATAGTTGGAGAGGGAATGGGGGGGCAGAGGGAGTGGGGGGCAGAGGGAGTGGGAGAAAAAGATAGTTGGAGAGGGAGTGGGGGGTCAGAGGGAGTGGGGGGAGGGAGTGGGGGGGAGTGGGGGAGGGAGCAGAGGGAGTGGGGGGGGAGGGGGCAGAGGGAGTGGGGAGGGGCAGAGGGAGTGGGGGGGAGTGGGGGGAGGGAGCAGAGGGAGTGGGGGGGGGAGGGGCAGAGGGAGTGGGGGGGGGAGGGGGCAGAGGAGTGGGGGGAGTGGAGGAGGGGGCAGAGGGAGTGGGGGAGGGGGCAGAGGGAGGGGGCAGAGGGAGTGGGGGTGGAGGGGGGAGGGCAGAGGGAGTGGGGGGAGGGGCAGAGGGAGTGGGGGGAGTGGGGGGGGAGGGGGCAGAGGAGTGGGGGGAGGGGGGAGGGGGCAGAGGGAGTGGGGGAGGGGGCAGAGGGAGTGGGGGGGGAGGGGAAGAGGGAGGGGGGAGGGAGGGGCAGAGGGAGTGGGGGGAGTGGGCAGAGGGAGTGGGGAGGGGCAGAGGGAGTGGGGGGAGGGGCAGAGGGAGGGGGCAGAGGGAGTGGGGGGGAGGGGGCAGAGGGAGGGGGCAGAGGGAGTGGGGGGAGGGGGCAGAGGAGTGGGGGGGAGGGGCAGAGGGAGTGGGGGAGTGGGGGAGTGGGGGGGAGGGGGCAGAGGGAGGGAGGGAGTGGGGGAGGGAGTGGGGGAGGGGCAGAGGGAGGGAGGGAGTGGGGGAGGGGATGGGGGAGGGGGCAGAGGGAGGGGGGGAGTGGGTGGGGAGGGGCAGAGGGAGTGGGGGGAGGGGCAGAGAGTGGGGGGGGAGGGGGCAGAGAGTGGGGGGGAGGGGCAGAGGGAGTGGGGGGGAGGGGCAGAGGGAGGGGGCAGAGGGAGTGGGGGGAGGGGGCAGAGGGAGGGGGCAGAGGGAGTGGGGGGAGGGGCAGAGGGAGGGGCAGAGGAGTGGGGGTGGAGGGGGCAGAGGAGTGGGGGGAGGGGGCAGAGGGAGTGGGGGGAGGGGGAGTGGGGGGGAGGGGGCGAGGGAGGGAGGGAGTGGGGGAGGGAGTGGGGGAGGGCAGAGGGGGGGGAGGGGGAGGGGAGTGGGGAGGGGGCAGAGGGGGGGGAGTGGGTGGGGAGGGGGCAGAGGGAGTGGGGGGAGGGGCAGAGGGAGTGGGGGGAGGGGCAGAGAGTGGGGGGGGAGGGGGCAGAGGGAGTGGGGGGGAGGGGGCAGAGGGAGTGGGGGAGGGGGCAGAGGGAGTGGGGGGAGGGGCAGAGGGAGTGGGGGGGGAGGGGGCAGAGGGAGTGGGGGAGGGGGCAGAGAGTGGGGGGGGAAGGGGGCAGAGGGAGTGGGGGGGGAGGGGCAGAGGGAGTGGGGGAGTGGGGCAGAGGGAGTGGGGGGAGGGGGCAGAGGGAGTGGGGGGGGAGGGGGCAGAGGGAGTGGGGGAGGGGAGTGGGGGTGGAGGGGGCAGTGGTAGTGGGGGGAGGGGGCAGAGGGAGGGGGGGGGGGGGGTTCACTCACCTGCGTGTACAAGTACAAACCCCACATTCCTGCCCTCGGGGGCCATCTCTCTCTTCTCTCCCCGTTTCTCCGCCGCGGCCGCCCTGTCCTCCCCGGCTCCGGGGGCCCTACTCCCACCGGCCTCGGCCATGGTCAGGGCCGAGCGGCCGCATCGCCGCTTCCTCTCTCCATCGGGGGCCGGTGTGGAGGCGGCGGCTGAGCTGAGACCCGGTGAGCGGCCTCACCCGCGGCTCATGGCTTCACCGAGAGACCCCGGCACAGGGGGGGGGGGCGGGGGGCTGTCACGGTGCGGGCCGGAGGCTCTATTTGAACCGGAGGATAAGCGGTCACCGGCTCCGACTTTTCCCCGCGGTCCAACTGTCAACCGCTCCGCGAGCCGCTGTTTACACCGTCCACTTCCGGTCTCGATCTACCGTCACTTCCGGAGGGTATGTCATTGCCCGGACCTGGTGCGGCCCTGTGTGTGTGGGTGTGTGTGTGTGTGGGTGGGTGGTCAGGGCTTGAGATGGGTGGGCTCGGCTGCGGGGGGGGGTGCGGTTGTAATTAAAAGGCTGGTAGCTTCTGAGGCCTTGTAAACACGACACTGCACTGTTGGTTGGTTGGTTGGTTGGAGGCGTGTGGGGAAGAGGTTTGGATCATCCACACGTGACACAGTCACTACACTCCGTGGTGTATCCTGTGAAGGACAGGGCTTGGTTTGGAGTGTGAGGGGCCGGGCAGGGTTTGGCGTGTGAGGGGCCGGGCAGGGTTTGGCGTGTGAGGGGCCGGGCAGGGTTTGGCGTGTGAGGGCCGGTCAGGGTTTGGCGTGTGAGGGGCCGGGCAGGGTTTGGCGTGTGAGGGGGGCCGGCAGGGTTTGGCGTGTGAGGGGCCGGGCAGGGTTTGGCGTGTGAGGGCGGCTCAGGGTTTGGCGTGTGAGGGCCGGTCAGGGTTTGGCGTGTGAGGGGCCGGTCAGGGTTTGGCGTGTGAGGGGCCGGTCAGGGTTTGGCGTGTGAGGGGCCGGCAGGGTTTGGCGTGTGAGGGCCGGGCAGGGTTTGGCGTGTGAGGGGCCGGGCAGGGTTTGGCGTGTGAGGGCCGGGCAGGGGGTGTGAGGGGCCGGGCAGGGTTTGGCGTGTGAGGGGCCGGGCAGGGTTTGGCGTGTGAGGGGCCGGGCAGGGTTTGGCGTGTGAGGGGCCGGGCAGGGTTTGGCGTGTGAGGGGCCGGGCAGGGTTTGGCGTGTGAGGGGCCGGGCAGGGTTTGGCGTGTGAGGGGGTTGGCTGGCTTGTACCACTGGTTGGACCTCAATATCAACAGTTTGAATTCATGCAGCACCTTTCACGGAGCGTCTCGGACCACTCAAGAACTTCAAGGCCACAAATGGAGCAATAATTAAATACTTCAGCATTCATTTTGGATTTACAAATATGGGGTGCACCCGTGGTTTAAATCTTATGTATGAATGGTATTTTCATACTGCAATCCCTTCAAGGTTCTGTCCTTGACTGGTTCAGGTCCTACCTTTCACACCGCCTCCACTTTGTCGCAGCAAACGGCTTCTCCTCCAGCCCCTGCACCGTCTTGTGTGATGTCCCTCAGGGCTCTGTCCTCGGTCCCCTCCTCTTCACCCTCTACATGCTCCCCCTTGGTGACATCATCCGCAGACATGGGGTAAATTTCCGCATGTATGCTGATGACACCCAACTCTACCTCTCTGCCTCCACCGTCAACCCCAGGAACACTGGCGTTGTGACAGGCTGCCTGTCCGACATCAAGTCTGGACGAGGGACAACTTTCTCCAACTCAACGTCAGCAAGACCGAGGCCTTTTTGATTGACTCGCGCCAGCGCTTCCTCACCTCAGACGCTGACAGCATCAGCCTCCATGGCTGCACACTCAACCTCACTAAGCCAGTCAGGAACCTGGGTGTCTTGTTTGACCCTGAACTGTCCTTTATCCCTCACATCCACACCATGACCGGCACTGCCTACCACCACCTCTGCAACATTGCCAGACTCCGCCACTGCCTCAGCCCTCAGGCTGCCGAAACCCTCACCCATGCATTTGTCACATCAACAACAACAACAAGATTATGTTTGTATAGCGCCTTTCACGTCGGGAGGACGCTGGACAGTGTACAACATTTCAGACCTGAGCTGGGGTCAGGGAAGGAGGGAGGGAGGGGTGACCAATGGCATGGTTGAAGAGGAGGGTTTTGAGGCGAGACTTGAAGGAGGCTAAGGAGGGGGCGAGGCAGAGTGATTGGGGAATGGAATTCCAGAGGTTGGGGGCAGAGTGGCTGAAGGCTCTCCTGCCAATGGTGGAGCAGGTGGGTTGGGGGACGTGGAGCAGGCTGGAGCCGGCTGAGCAGAGGGAGAGGGCGGGTTGGTAGGGAGTTAGGGGATCGCAGAGTTAGAGTGGGGCGAGGCCATGGAGGGCTTTGTAGGTGAGGACCAGGATCTTGAACTGGATCCTCTGAAGGATAGGGAGCCAATGGAATCAGACAAGAATGGGGGAGATGGGGTCATGGAGTTTGGTGCGGGAGAGGACACGGGCTGCAGAGCTCTGGATTATCTGCAGCCTGTGGAGGGAGGGTTTGGGAAGGCCGACAAGCAGGCGTTTGCATAGTCGAGCCTGGAGTTGATGAAGGCATGAACAGGAGTTTCAGCGGCCTGAGGTAGTGGCGAAGTTGGGCGATGTTCTGGAGGTGAGGGAAGGTAGAGTGCGTCATGGCTTGGATGTGAGGAAGAAAAGACAGTTGAGGGTTCCTGACTGGCTTGATGAGTTGTAGTGTGCAACCATGGAGGTTGATGCTGCCAGAGCCTAAGGTGCTGAGGCGCTGGCGCGCGCCATTCAGGAGGGCCTCAGTCTTGTTTATATTCAACTGCAGGAAATTTGCCCTCATCCAGGACTTGATGTCCGACAGGCAGTCTGTCAGGACAGCAGTGGTCCTGGAGTTGAGGATGGGGTCAGAAAGATGAGAGTTGGGTGTCATCCGCATACATGTGGAAGTTGATCCCATGTCTGCAGATGATGTCACCAAGGGGGAGCATGTAGATATTAAAGAGGAGAGGGCCAAGGACAGAGCCCTGGAGGACGCCAGACGTGACAGTGTGGGGGCTGGAGGAGAAACCGTTAGAGGCAACAAAGTGGAGACGGTGAGAGAGACAGAAATCGAACCAGGCAAGGGCAGGTCCATGAAGATTAAGTAAAGATCGAACCAGGCAAGGGCAGGTCCATGAAGATTAAGTAAAGAGGAGAGGCGGTGTATGAGGATAGAGTGGTCGACAGTGTCGAAGGCGGCAAAGAGGTCGAGGAGGACAAGGAAGCAGAAGGAGCCCTGATCACAGATGTTCAGAATGTCATTAGTGACTCTGACCAGGGCTGTTTCCATGCTGTGGGCGGCGCGGAAGCCGGATTGGAGGGGTTCAAAGGGAATGGCGAGAGAGAAAGGAGTGGAGCTGAGATGCGACGACTCGTTCCAGGACCTTGGAGAGGAATGGGAGGTTAGAGATGGGGCGGTAGCTGGAGAGGAGGGATGGGTCCAGGGAAGGTTTTTTCAGGATAGGGGTGATAACGGCTGTTTTTAGGGGGAGTGGGAACTGAACCGGTGGACAAGGAGAGATTGATCACATCGGACAGGAGAGGGGCCAGAAGGTGGAGATGGGAGATGAGGAGAGAGGTAGGGATGGGATCGAGGGAGGCAGGCTCGATTACGGAAACTCCCTCCTCATCGGCCTTCCCAACTCTTCCCTTCACAAGCTGCAGATCATCCAAAACTCTGCAGCTCGTGTACTGTCGCGCACCAGGCTCCACGACCCCAGCACTCCCACCCTCGCCCGACTCCATTGGCTCCCCTTCCCCCAGAGGATTGAGTTCAAGATCCTCGTCCTCACTTTCAAGGCCATCCATGGTCTTGCCCCCTCCTACCTCTCTGACCTGCTGACTCCCTACCAACCTGCCCACTCCCTCCATTCAGTGGGCTCCGGTCTGCTTCGTGTCTCCTGCCCGACCCGCCCTACCATCGGTGGCCGGGCTTTCAGCCTCTCTGTCCTCACACTCTGGAACTCCATCCCACGGTCCCTTCGCCTCACTTCCTCCTTTGCCTCCTTCAAGGTCGGTCTCAAGACTCTTCTTTGATTGTGCCTTTGGTCTCCCTCCCACCTCTCTGCCTTCCCTCACCCCTACACCACCCCTCCCCCATGTTCGGGCCCTGAGACCTGATTGTTCAGTGCTTTGGGACGTCCTCCCGACATGAAAGGCGCTCTATTAATGTAATTTTGTTGTTGTTGTTGCAATCAAGTAAACATTCCAAATTATTTTTATGCTGTAATATTTTAAAAACTAGATTGTTTTAACTTACATAAAGTTTATGCTTCTTATCTCACACCTGAGCGATACAAGAGCTGAGGCTTTTAACAGAACAGTTCCTAAAGTGTAACATCTGGTGAATGCATAAAGTCTTTGTCAAGTCATCTGGTCAAGTAGGATATCCATCTATGCTTTCACCAGAAATGTGATAAGAATATTCTACAAATTATTAGACGTGGAGAATCTTTAAGCTTTTATCTTTATCTTTCCAGAAAGTTATGTATTGATGTATGTCATTATATTGCTTTGAACATGTTTTAATCTGTCAGTGTGGAATGCAGCTTTCTAATATATGTGCTTTACAAGAAGTAATACTTTGTGCTTAATGTTCTGATAGTTTATACAGTTCACTGATGATTTAAATGATTTTGGTTTTCGGTTTTATGGAAACAATTTATCTCAACAGAATATTTTGATCCACTATCTTTTAGCTCAACAAACTGTATCTGCAGCCTTCAAATTAAATCAATGAACTGTATATTGATACAGCTGGTTAGGATTTGAGATCTGAAATCAAGGTGTGTCAAGAGCAAAAAAAAATACATTGATTTTTCACGAAGGGCAGAATAGTAATATGAGGAGAGCTGAAAATTAGCAAAACAAAAATGGTATATCGATGTATTAATATATACCACCAGAGTGATTGAGAATGAACATCATGGTAACATTTCCCCACACACTGAGTATCAATACAAAGTCGCTTCATGAGTGCTTGTTGTAAATTGCTGTACACAAATTGGTTGCCGCATTCATCGGCAAGATACAGAGTCACTACACTTTACAGTATATCTTGTGAAACGCTTTGAGACC